TACGTGGGAATAGTTTTATTCGAGTTTATGGTAGAATACAAAAAGGTAGCTTAAGTTGTAGCTTTTGTGTAGCAAAAGAACATATACGATACAACGTTGTGAAAGTATCATGGCACATGATTTGTTTGTTTGACTTCTTTTTTTTGTTGCATGGTGTGTCCGTTTTCTTTATAGATTCTGATAGGAAAGTTCGTATGGATACAAATAAATCGACATAGAAAAGAATATTTCAATTCTTAAATCATTATCTCTAACTAATCCACAAGTTCACAACGCAGCCACTCGTTTTCACACCAGCTCGTGTTGATGTGTCATATGTGTGTGTGCGTGCTTTGTCTCATTGTGTATATCTCTCTATCCTCGAAATATATATACCTATTCATTATTAAGTTGGTAGCAAAAGAAATCGACTATAGTATCTAAAATGAAGTATTTATGTCTCTCTGACTTATATTTATTGCGGTCAATAAGAGTTTTTAGGTCTCTCTTAAAAGGAACAAGTTTAGATCTATTAAAAAATCTTTTGCGCTTATAATTTTACTTTTGGTTGGTCTAGCTGATAATGTTCTCAAACTAGACTATGCGACGAAAAAGCATTGTATTCTTTTGCTAGCTGATAATGTTCTCAAACTAGACCATGCTAGGAGAAAGCATTTTATGATTGTCTCTATCCCTACTGCATTAGAGCTATTCAGAAGAAAAACTATGAAGATCCTGCTTAAGTTGTAATGTTGAAAGCTATGTTATATGTTATGGACTGGGTAGGAAAAAGAAAAAAAAAAGGTTATGGACTTGGGCTGAAACCCATTTGGGCGCAAAAGCTACAAATGTTTAAACTCGCTGATAGATTTGGAGGAAGAATAGTGTGAGTTGTGTTCCTGGTTTTAATGTACAGAAAATGATAAGTTCTTAGGAATGTAGGCATGAAATATTTTAAGACAAAAAACTTAATTTAAACGTTAAACTCATAGTAGTTTCACCGTTGTATATTTGTCATCAATACTATTAAAAGAGAAGGAGTCTTAAAAAATCTACCTATGAAAGGTTATTGCACCCTTTCATTTTTTAGTCTAACCCATATATAACCAAATCATATATAACTACCCTATTTTATAGTAACCAAATGAGATTCCATTATTTTCCATATTTTATCTATTACGAAAATTGATATATTATAACTTCCTTTTTCATCTTNAACTACAATCTACGGTTACACTATAATATGACTATGACATGTTCGACAACAATATATTTAACAACTACAAATAATTAATCACATTCTTCATGACATATAACACTTACTATTTTATATAATATTTTATTTAGTATAGTAGAATAATATCTGTCACATGCAACAGACATATGCCACACTCAGATTTATATCAAATTTAGTGAAAGACCAATTTAATAGATTATTTAGTATATTAGAACAATATCTCTCATGCATTATATAGTTCCAAATATTTATAAAATTAAAATTAATAAATCAAACAATCTGTTAAAAAAATATGTTATTTTTTAATAAAAGTATCTATAATAAAATTTCTTATATAATATAAGTTTAAAACTATTACAAAACTTACATATTTACACTATTAAATTAGGCAGAAATATATCAAGTAAATCTTAAGATAACGAAGATAAAATGCACACTATTAAATTAGCCAGAATTATATTTGTTGATATATATCAAGTAAACTTACATAATTTTTTTTATAAAATGCACACAAAAGATAATGAAAGTGAGTAGGTCTGAGTATCAGATTTTTGGGTAGATACATATCGGTTCTTTTCAAGTTCAAAAAATTTGAACATAACTAGGTATTTGAAGTTTTTTGGTTCAAGTTCGAGTTGGTTCCCTTTAAATTCGGATCGGTTCGAATTCATAATTTAAATATCTATAAAATCTCTGTAATAGTTGGGTACGTAACGGATCCGAATTGGTTTGATTATTTGGGATCCAAAAGGATTTGATATACCTAAAACCCCCAAAAATATTGAAACACGAAAAATACCCAAAATCCAAACAAATACCCAAAATATTGAAATTCCCAAAAAGACCCAACTTGAACCGGTTCTTTTGACTCGAGAAATTATAAAAAGGTCCAGTTTTTGCATACCCAAATTTTTNGGATCCGAATTGGTTTGATTATTTGGGATCCAAAAGGATTTGATATACCTAAAACCCCCAAAAATATTGAAACACGAAAAATACCCAAAATCCAAACAAATACCCAAAATATTGAAATTCCCAAAAAGACCCAACTTGAACCGGTTCTTTTGACTCGAGAAATTATAAAAAGGTCCAGTTTTTGCATACCCAAATTTTTAAAAAAAAAATATTGAAACTTAACCCGAAATCCAAAAATTAAATCGAAAAACCTGAACCCAAAACTTAAAAAGTATTTGTAATACTAAAAACAATTCTAAAATACTCAAATATATATACATAAAACATTTCAGGTACTTAGGTACCCGATCAAATCCCGGGTATGATCTTGACTCGAAAAGAGACCTGTAAATCCAAAAAGTTGAATATGTAAACCTGATGATGATGTTGTATCCACGAAGTATGGAAAGTGCCAAACATTAGGAACAACCCGGAGAGGAGTTAGGAACATGAACACGAAGAAGTGAGAACCACTTAAATGGAAGAATCGTCAGAATACTAATTCAGAAATTTTGTATATAATCCAAATAAAAACCCGCGCTTTTATAGCGCGGGTCAAAATCTAGTTATTCTTACAAAACAAGAAACAAATTAATGCGTGGAAATTGCGATCGACATACAAAGAACTATCGATAAGCTGTTTGCAGAATTGCATACTACAGTATAATTAATAAATACGTTATTCGGCCACTGAATGGTTAAAATACAAATCAAAATTGTACTCTCTCTCTCTCTCTCTCTTTGTTTTTCAAAAAGTGCCGTTTTATCATTTTGTTCTTGTAGACAAAAAAAAGTTACTTTAGAATTCTAATGTATGTTATACTTATTTCATCCGAATATTAATTTTAAAATAAATTGCTCTACTAAAAAATATATTTTCTCAAGTTCTATTGTTAAATATATATAAACAATGAAAACATAAATGCATTTCAATCTTTTTTAATATATGTGAAAAATGTATAAATAATATTTTATAAAACAACGGTGGAATAATTATTAAGAAGATCATAATGATAATGGATTATCAGCTCCGAGCCTATTAATTTGTTACTTCCATCCAACCCAAATTGAAAGTTCAAGTTGTTTCAAAGTGCATCGGTTTAATTAAAGAATCATATAGGTCATTTGTGTTCATAGGTTTTGATTGATAAATCATTAGCATAGCCATTATATTTTTTATTATCCAATTAACAATTTGTAAAAAAAGTATTTACTAGATGTTAACGCTCTTAAAATGCTCATTAACTAATGTTTTCATATAAAAGTTTTGGTTTTACATATAAAATATATATTAACAAAACTAATTATATATAATTATTTATTTAATAATATCAAAATTATGTTTATATCCAAAAACTAAATTTTAAAAATAAAAATTGCTATTAAAATATTTTGAACTTTTATACAATAGAAATATTTCAAATTAAAAAATAATGGTATTTATTTAATTAAATATAATTCCTATTTTAATAACAAATGGATTAAATATTATATATTAATATATTATAAAGTATAGTTATATTATTAAAAGTAATAAATTATATATCATATTTTTACAATAATTCTATATATGGTTATTACTCTATTAATCACATTATTAAATACATAAATGAGAGTATACTGTTACTCTCTACCAGTTTAGGCTTTAGTTGAAAAGTTAATCTGCAACTTGTGTATTTTAAAGCTCAAGATAAAGTAATTTAAAATTTGAAAGAATTTTGTGTGATTTCTTCATTCTCAAGATAATCATGATGTTTTCGCTCTCAATCTCTCATATCCGGAAATTAATATATTGTCTCACAATTAATACAATATGTTTGAATTATTTAGATATTGTGACGACAAATATCTCTTGCCAACCGTTTATTTGACCGGATTAATATATAGATGAGTGATCTTAATAACGCATATTCTCAGTTTTAACGAGAAACCACTTTAGAAGCCATGCTATTTAAAAAAAAAATATTTATCAAGTATTATTGTGTAAGACATTTAATTTATATATATTATAATGACGTTACTTCTAAGGTATGAGTATTGACCGGGTGAGTTTTATAACAAGACCGGCATCCATATTCAAATCGAATGGTTACAAAAAGTAAACACTAGCAAGATACAAGTGGACTCATAGTATGAAATATATAATATAATACTAACGCTCATTTGTAAAGTTCTGTGTATAAGCAAATCCAACTTAGCTCTGTTCGTTTACCTTAGATCAGTCGCATGTTGATCTTTCCGTATCACTAAGAAGTAGAAATTGAAAAATAGTTTAACGACCTGCAACTGATAGTAAATTATCTACAACAATCAAACGAACAATATTTAGTCACGGATCGCAGTTGTTACAAAAAAAAAAGATCGTTGTGGACCTTATATAAAATTCAAATAGATATATTCATATATCGAGATAAATACGGTTTATATTATATCCATACTTTATATGTTCGATCTTCATCAATTAATTTGGGAAAGACAAGTTGTCAAATGAATTACAGCAAGAATCAGATAATACAAACCAAACTATCTACACAGATTGGAATTTAAACTGAATTTCAGAATCTACGGCTGAACACCAAATGTATGATAACACTAAAATCATAAGAGCATATGCAATGGTGAGGTTCACCAATGAATCCTTAGGAATAGTTTAGTAATATATTTTTTTTTTTTGGTTTTTGTTTGAATAGTTAAGGATCCGAATCAAAATTGGTTGTCCAATGGTGTTATCGAAGATGGAATCCTTAAAAAAAAAATTTAATATTTTAAAAATTGAATCTTAGAACTAGAAAGCCACAAGTTGATCAAGCAAACAAAATGAGCTTATAATTCAGGTACCACCACCAAGGTCAAAGACAAGAATGTTCTTCTCACCTAATGCAAAATCGACAGCGTTAGTAGCTACGGCAACAACAGCTCCACTGCAAGCGCTACCAGGGATACGATCATAGGCAGCAGGAGTTGTGGGAGACTCTGCTTGTTTTCTCCACTGATACTGAAGAATGCAAAACAAAGGAATCAAAATACTTGAGCCACAATCGTATATATAGTTAATCAAAAAGAGAGAGACAAACCCAAAGGCAAGTTCATCAACAACAGTTTTGCCAACGCAAGTAGCTCCACCTTCAACGAGAGTAGAAACCACAAGATATGTTGAAGAAGCAGCTTCATGCGTCCTGACCCAGTCTTGATGACCAAATCTAGACATCGAATCTGTAAAACAAATGAGGAATGAGAAACCTGGAACCAGGCTCTGCAACATTTTGAAAGATCTTCCTTGCTGCAAGTTTAGCTTCAAACTCACTTCTTATCTGCGTGGATTTGTCATCTTCGTGAGTGCTCGTGTCTATCTGTTCATCCAAAGTAGAAAGTGTTCATTTTCTTATCACATTCATCAGTCTCTTCATATCAAAAATCAAATGCAGCTTTAAGGAATACATCTGAAGCAAAAACATCACCTTGTTTGAATCCGGCTCTATCAGCCGGTGATCCTGGAATCACCTGCAGAAACAGCAAAAATAGTGGTTGAATTTGCAAAATTTGACATTGGTTAGGATTTACACAAACAACATGGTTCTTCTTCATGAATGAATGGGGTTACTCACCGTAGGGACAAGAATGCCTTTTTCCACATCAGGAAACATTGTGTATCATTCTTTAAGCTGAGCAATGATCATTTTGTTGAGTTCGATCATTCTTAACCCAATCCATGGACGAATTACTCTACTGCAACCATAGTTTTCTATTACTATTATCCAAAATCTAACCAAAATAATAGACAAATGGAGTTCATGTGTACGGTGACTTACACTCGGAGATGGCGAAAGAGAGACCGGAGGGAGCTTTGGGAGGAGCAGGCTGCTGCGGAGGGATTTTTGGGAGGAGCAGGCTGCGGTGGAGAGACCCTAATTTCGCAATCAAACTTAGGGATTTCTTTTAACAACTTTGATAATCACTTCCGTCGCTTAACATCCAACCCAATCGAAATCAGAGAAGAGAGAAGATAGAGGAGCCATGGTGGGAGATGATGGAGCGAGGAGAGATCGAGAGAGAGCGTGGGAGGAGAGATCGAGAGAGACACGTGTGTTAAGGATTGAGTCCATCTAACCCCTCTTGAAGGATTGATCCCTAATTAATTAAGCCAAAATAATAATATTATATTGAAATAATGCTAAGGATTAATGGTAAGGACTTATCTAAAACCACCATTGCAGTTGGTCTAAGATATTTACTCGTATACAAACATTGGATACCGAGAAGGGAATATGAAAGCATCCAATGGACCAAAAGAAGGCAAGCACAAAAAGCCAAAAGAAAGGTTGGGTTGCATTATTTATGTAGTTTTTATAATGTAATAATCTCTAGGATATGTATAATTATTGTACTACTTGTTCATTTTAATTTATGTTACATTCCGAGACTAAATTTTAGAATGAAGGCTCACGATGTATCGTGGTAGTTGTAGTAGTTAGTGGAACTCGCAATATGTGTTTATAACTTGAAACTGACATTCACCTTAATTTCAAAACCAATTAAATAAAATAAACATAACTTCCAAATATATACATTTGCTAACAACATTTTCGATGTTCAAATTTCCAGCCAAAAAGAACAGTTTCGGTGTTTAAATGAGTGAATATATATCAATCCATCACATTCTTATATTCACCATATAATATATTAGAATGTTTAATTATAAATTTATTTTATCAAAGCGTCAAAACTAGAATTTTAAATCATATAATAAAATAAAATAGCAAATTTTAAAATTAAAAAAAAAATTGTAATATTTTCTCTCCTACATGTCACATGATATATCAAATGTTTAATCAGTCTAAGCAATCTTCTTCTTAGTATTAAAAAAGTAAGCAAATCCTAGAAACCCATCTATAGATCCAAATCTAAAGACTGGAAATGACAATATGCTAGAAGTTTATGAGCATCCTCTCTCTCTCTATCACAATACAAATAAACATGCAAATCCTAGAAACCCATTGTCACCATGATGCTCATAAACTTCTAGATATGTGACCTGGTAAAATGGATTATATGATATATTGATATTAGGAGATAGCAATGTGCATGAGAATCATAGCTCAATGAGAGGGTCCCACAGACAGAGAGACAGGAGTCACGGACTGTCCTATCGTCTTCATCGGGAAATGCCAAAGATCCTCTCTCCCTATCACAATACAAATAAACATGCAACATGCTATGTTTGGTCCAACCCTGTAATTATGCCTTAATCATTTCTTCCGATCTATATCTCCTTAAAGGCAATTCCCTTTTCTCACTTTCTCGACATCACAACCAAAAGAAGAAAAGGAATTTCAAACGAGTATGAGTTCAGAAGAGGAATTTCTGTAGTCCACTCAAGTAATCAAATAGTTTTATTTTGTCCACACTCTTTTATGCTCAAATAAATTGCAAAAAGACACTAGGTATGAACCATAATTGCTACTTCTAACAAGAGTCTAAGTTGTCATGCAGGCATAATTAAACGTTCTAATTTAGGTTATTGGCGACAATAGTGAATAGATCTTAGATTTAGTGCCACATTTTGACTTTGGCGTACACTTAATTACGCCCTATGACTCCTAACCTAAATACATTTTTAGAAAATACCTAAATCACTTTGCATTTCCAGTTAAAAATCTTTATATAGAGAATAGTTGAAAGGAAATACTACAAGTTACAAAAAGGTCTTTTTGAGTTCCTAAAACTTTTTGGAGTCAAAGAATAGTGCTCCCTTTTAAAAACGGGAAACTTTTTACATCTACCTATATGCTTTGTTCTTGGGACACATAACATTTTCCTTTGCCAAATACAATTTCTTGGGTGCATAAAATCTTCATTTTATAATAAATAGGAGTTGAAACTGTGTGCAGTTAGATTTTATATATTAGATCCAAACATAGCAAGTACATATTAACGTAGATTTATATATAGATCCCTTAAACATTTATATTTTCACTTTTAAGCACACCATAGAACACATGCACGTGTGTCTATGTAACTGCGAGAGAGAAAAAAAGAGACCGGCCTTTCTCAGAATTACTATTATTTATTTATTGAAAACAGTTAGACCATGTTTATTGCATGTCCCTTAAGTTGGGTCCCTTAGCGTACGGTCCCTTAGCTTTTAACTGAAAACGCTAAGGGACGTCCCTTAAATCCCTTATATAAGGGACGTCCCTTAGCGTTTTCAGTTAAAAGCTAAGGGACTGTACGCTAAGGGACCGAGCTTAAGGGACCTGCAATAATCATGCTCTTAGTTTCCCTTTTGAAAAAAATCATAGATTGATTCAACCTAAAGAAAAAGTAGATCTCTATAAGAACATCTCCCAGACCTCTCAACCTTATTTAGCCGGAAAAAACTTTATTCCTGTACTAGTTCCCTTTAAAAATTATAACAAATCCTCTTTCAATATATATATACTTTCGTGTCTTGAAATTTTCTTCCTCATCTTGTTTGGTCTTTTCTCATCATTTGGCATAACCAAAGAGTCAAGCACATTCAAACATTCCCAATGCCCTAAAACCCAAAAAAACTTAGATGCTCTTGTTCTTGTTCTCCCTCCACAAATTATCCCCAAAATAACTCTCTCTTTTGTTTGTTACTGTTCTAAATCTCCTGATCACCTTCTTGTTTTTTAGCAAGGTCTTATAAAAAAAACAACTTCTTGTTCTTTAGCTCTGGTTTACATCTACGCAGATGATTTCAGGAGATCCATTTTCTATTTCATCTTCCATGGGAGGGTTTGTCCATCAAGAACAGCATATTCATCATCATCAGCAGCACATCCCTGACCTTAACCCTAATTCCATCCCAAACCCTAGTGCTAAACCAAATTCGTCATCAGCCAAGAAGAAGAGAAATCAACCGGGCACCCCTGGTATCACCTTTATCACCAGTCACCACAATATACTCATATATATATACATATTTACATATCTTTTTTTTATCAATTTTTTTTTTATTAAATCATATTTACATATCTAAACACACATATTTTCTGTAGAAAGTTCTCTATCTTTAAAGTCGGCCTTCCACTGAAATTAACATTTAACCCAATAAATATGCACACACCCACACACACACAGACATATATATATATATATATATATTGGTGAAATATTCACAAACTCAATATTGACATATAACTGTATAAGCATCTGCATATTGCATATGTTCCAGTATTTGGTTATGTCCGGATGGTTTACATTTTTTTTTTGGTGATCTAAAAGACTCTATATAACTATGAAAGCGTAGAATTCGTTAGATCAAATTATATATGCCTTAAAAAAATAAATGATACATCATATGGACAGATCCAGATGCGGATGTCATCGCTCTATCGCCAACAACCCTCATGGCGACAAACAGATTCGTCTGTGAGATCTGCAACAAAGGGTTTCAAAGGGACCAGAACTTACAACTCCATCGCCGTGGCCACAACCTTCCGTGGAAGCTGAAGCAACGATCCAACAAAGAGGTGATAAAGAAGAAAGTATACATATGTCCTATCAAGACTTGTGTTCACCATGATTCCTCTAGGGCCCTTGGAGACCTCACTGGGATCAAGAAGCACTATAGCCGCAAGCACGGGGAAAAGAAGTATAAGTGCGAAAAATGTTCTAAGAAATATGCTGTTCAATCTGATTGGAAGGCACACGCGAAAACTTGTGGCACTCGTGAGTATAAGTGCGACTGTGGCACGTTGTTCTCCAGGTACTACATTTTATGAAAAATGTTTGGTATGGTTGATGTTGAAGTTAAGTATTACTACTCGTTAATCAGTCTTTTGTGTAAAAAGCCTAATTAATACGTATAGATGGAGTAGAAAAATATATAGCTATACTGTCGGTATGAATGTGTGTGCAGTGTCTTGTGATTATATATTTGCTGAGAAGTTTGATTAGAGCTCAGAGCATTAATTCAAGAGCTTCTGACTTTTGGGGACACGATTTAATTTTAGTTTAAGATTTTGATAAAAGCTGACATTTTATGAGTATGATATTCGATGAGATTTTTGATGGCATGAGCATCTATTTATTTTGTGTGTTTGCATATGTACATGTCTATTTGGCTTCATTCTTGGGAAGTGATTATACACGCATTTATATATGAGCAGTATGTTTCATTTTAATAACTATGTTTTGTGTTTTCTTCTGTCTTCGTGTCTGGAGTTAGTGAGTTTGCATAGGAGAAATAAATGCTTAATTCCTCCGGCCAAGAATGTCTTGTTTTGCTAATGATTTCAAATTCAATGCTATGTTACGTAATCAATGCATTTGTCTCGCCTCTTAAATTAATTATTATCATCACATCTCGTTACTTAAATGTATGTACAAACCCTAAACGCTTTTCTATTATAGGAAAGATAGTTTCATCACACATAGAGCGTTCTGTGACGCATTGACAGAAGAAGGTGCGAGAATGAGCTCACTTAATAATAATAATCCGGCGATCTCTACAACAACGATGATGACGACGAGTCTTAATTTTGGAAATAATTCACATGCTATGAATAATCCAAATCTTCCTCATGGATTTGTCCACCGAGGAGTTCATCATCCCGACATCAATGCTGCTATCTCTCAATTTGGTTTAGGGTTTGGACATGATATAAGTGCAATGCATACGCAAGGTACATCATATCTTAATCATGTTCCTAGTTTTAATATGAAATAAAGACTATTTTCATTATTATCCCTATTTATATAATTATATTAATTCTGTACATGTAGGTTCATCTGAAATGGTACAAATGGCCTCCACTGGGAACCACCACCTCTTCCCCTTGTCTTCATCATCATTCCTCACTGATTTCTCCGACCACCAATACAACCAACAATTCGAAATTCCCACAACTTCCACAAACCCTAATCTCACCTTATCATCATCCTCAACAACACACCAAACCTCAGCTTCACTCCCATCACTACAGCAACAACACCACTCTTCTTTCTCTCCACTCTTATCCTCTGACAACAAACAAAACAAGCCTCTCTCTCCAATGTCTGCCACTGCTCTCTTGCAAAAGGCTGCACAAATGGGATCCACTAGAAGCAACTCCACCACCTCTCCGTCCTTATTCGCCGGCCCAATAATGACGTCATCATCATCCGCCGCTTCACCTCCTCCTCGATCATCTTCTCCAATGATGATCCAACAACAACTCAATACCAATGCATCAAGAGAGAACCACAATCTTGCTCCTCCAAACAGTGGTGTAACCACAAGTAATGTGGAGAATAATAATCCATTTCAATCAAACCGGTCAGGTCTAAACACGGCTCAGCAGATGGGTTTAACCCGCGATTTTCTTGGAGTGAGCAACGAGAATTACCCTCACCAAACGGATCGCCGTCCATATTTGCCTCAAGAACTCGCAAGGTTTGCTCCATTGGGTTGATCAATTAATGTATGAATTAATTAGATTCGATTCACTGCCTATTTGGCATGTAAATCAAGAGAAAGATGGAGGACAATATTTTGTTTGTTACGAGGAGACAAGTCTAAGAGTCGTACTCCCTTGTGAGGCGGTCGGGATGTGGGGACAAAGGTTGACAAGATACCATCATATCAGTTTGCATTAAATGCTATGTACTTTTACTATGTTTATGATGATCAGTTTACAATAAATGCTATGTACTTTTACTATGTTCTGATGATCATTAATGTCGCCAGAGATTCAAATCCATGCTTGTCATTGCTCAGCTAGTAGCTTGAGTAGCTAAATAGGCCTTGTCTTCATTTTGACTAATCTCTAAAATATGAAATATGTCGTTTTCTGGATACATGCATTATTTTTTTCATTGTAAAGGCCAATAAACAATTTTTTTTTAAAATAATAGAAAGTTATATATAAAATTGATGCCCCGGCTGCTTAACCTGCCCAGAAGTTGATTAAGATACTAGTATTATTTTCGTCGGTAATAAGAAAATTTTATATCTTGGTGGAACAAAGATTAATGGTTAAAGTTAGGTGTTATTACATGATTAGGTTGCTAGTAGTTTATTTCTAAATATTCCAATTCTTGTTTTGTTTGGTATAATGTCACTCATATATAAAAAATGTCACATATACGAAAGAAATATTTAATTAATGACTTTAGATATGCTGAGATCTTAGATTATTATTATAGAAAACGTTTTATATAACGAAAAGGTTTAAGTCATCCTGTGACAATTATTGTTAAGACCATCTTCACAATTTTTGATGACATCTTCGATTTTGTGTCATGACTATATAATATCTCAAAAATTGAGTTTGAATTGGAAAACAACAAGGAAAAGCAAAAAAAAAAGTATATAATTATATATATGTCAGGATACAATGGGGTTTAAGAACAAAAATACAAAATCTACAACTCTCGAGTCTCCATCTCGGGTTGAATGAACTTTTCATCATCTTTCTCCTCATATATCGTCCCCAAAGAAGGTGAAGCTGAGACCCTCACTGGGAAAATAATCATCGCCGGTACAACTTCGAGAGGTCCGATCATCCTCGCCATACCAAGAAAAAATAATTAAAACTATGATAAACTCTTCCAAGTGACTTGAGAAGTATAGTAGTTGTCGACTTCGCGGAGAAGTTCTGTGGGAAGATTATTGAGTACTTCTGATATTTATAGAGAGATCATCAATCGTAATCATTGTGAGGAAAATTATTTTAAAAGAGTGTTAGTGGGAGAGCAAATAGTGGTTTAGCTTGATTAGACACGTTAAGCAAAACTCACGTGGGAACGTATACGTTGAGTATGACGCGGTCTCTATTTTTCGCACGTGATATTTATGTTTCACATTCAGACTGACGCGCTTCTGATTATAAAAACAAAAGTGAGGCCTATGTGTGATTGTTTCTTAATACACATATATTTATATATTATATATACATATATAATTGTGAGTTAAGGACTTTACGGAAAACAATACAGAGAATCTCTTAATTAAAGAATTTTCTGTCTCGTTTCCCGTAAAATCCTTAATCCACAATTATATACATACTAGGTGATTTTCCCGTGCTCATGCACGGGTATAAATATTCATAAAAGTAAAATTTTATAATAATTAATTTCTATTTAGTTTTAGTTTTAATTTTGAATAAATTTATATCTATAATTTATATTAATAAATATTATATTATTCTAATTATACATATGACTTTAGATATATCATTGTTGGTTTAATTATTTTTTGGATCAATCGTCGGTTTGGTTATCAATTTGGTATATGAGATAATATCTATTTTTTGAATTCAGCTATACTATTTTTTATTCTAAATATAATAAAAATTTGATTAATTTTCTTATTTTCATTTCGGTTGGTTATTGTCTTAGATATGTAAATATATTATAGTTAAGTTATGTATAACTTGATATATATTGTGCTTAAAATGAAATAAATAATAAACTGAAGTGTTTGATTCAAAATTACATAAAGGAATATAATGATAATATTTTGAAATCTCATGCATATATATAAATTCTACAAAATAATTAAATTGTAATTGGTTAATATTTTATTTTTCTTTTTAATATTCTTTGAGCCAACCTCTAATTTATATGTATAAAATTAAATAGATTATTATTATTATTACTATTCTTATTATTATTATTATTATTTAAAATTATATGTTCTTATTGTAGTTAGATGTTTAATTTTGGATATAAATTAGATTAAAATTAAAGTATAATTAATTTTTATTTGAGTTAAGTCAAATCAAATTATATTTATTTATCGCTTAAATATACATGTATATTCATAATATTTATTTACTCTTTATTTTAGTTAATTTAAATCAAATTATTTTTATTTATCGCTTAAATATACATATATTTTCGTAATATTTATCAAATTCTATGATGATTTCTTAAAAATATTACAAAATAGTGTAACTTATAAATTTTTATGGTCATGAACATATATATTTTTATTATTTTGAAAATATATTTTATGTTATTTAAAAATATATATTAATGGGGGTATTACTATTTTGTCAACTTTCCTTTTTTAATAAAGTCATATTATATACATATATTTTCGTTTTTAAATTTATTTTAAAATTTTAGAAATATTTCCTTTTTATTATATATATTATTTGGAAAAAGGTAAAAAGGAAACTAAATAAAAAAATTAATAATAATCTTAAAATATAATAATTCATTAAGGGTATCTATGTAATCAACCATCGCGAGAATTAACGTGAGCACGACACGTAGGAAACTGACTTTTCAAATAATATTATAGAGAAAAAGGTAAAAAGGAAACTAAATAAAAAAATTAATAATAATCTTAAAATATAATAATTCATTAAGGGTATCTATGTAATCAACCATCGCGAGAGTTAACGTGAGCACGACACGTAGGAAACTGACTTCTCAAATAATATTATAGAGATATATCATATATACATATATGTGTATTAAGAAACAATCACAAGAGATATTGTAATAATGTTGTCCTTAGATTTGTGACACGTGAGGGTTGTCTATATCAAAATATACTCCCTCCGTTCCACAATATAAGATGTTTTATCCAAAGCACAAGAATTAAGAAACTTAACTTTTTAAAAGATAACATTATTGATAGTATAAATTTAAAATAAATTAACCAATCATAAATAATAAACTAAAATACTATTGGTCAACCGGTTTTCTATAAAGTTAAAGTACCTTAAAAATATCAAAACATCTTATGTTTTGAAACATCAATTTTCTCTAGAACATCTTATATTATGGAACGGAGGGAGTATAATTTAGAATTATATTCTTGTGGTTGACAAATCATCTCACCAAACAGAAGCACCGGTTTGCGACTCTAGTTTTCGGTTTTAGTTTGGTTTGATTTATCAAAAATATTGTTGGATTGTGATCCGGTTAATATGAAATTCTATTTTTGAACATAATTAATATGAAAATTGCTCTAAGGTTTGATTGTCGGCTTGAATTGAATATTTGGACCGGTTAGGTTGGAAACTAATAAATATATAGAGATCATACCACGCAGCTCGAAATTGAACATAACGTATCTGTGGTATTATGAAGTAATCATCGAACTACAAGAAGAGAAAGTTCCCAAAGATCCCACAATTATCACAAGATATGATTATCAATAAATATACAAAATCTCAGGTGATGTATTTGGTTTAGAAAATTACAACAAGAAATCTATCTAAACTCCAAGAAGAAAGATCAAATGATCGTATCATGTTCTTGATCGTCTTGCTCGGTCTCTCGTTCTTCTAAAATCGTTTCAAGAATCGGAGACGACGTAGATGGCTTCTCCGGAAAAATTATCCGCGGAGGAGCGGCCTCCATCCACCATGCTAAATCCGTTTTCACCACCGTCCAGTTTTGGTCGCACCGGTTATCAAAGAAACACATATTCGAGAGATAGATTTGTAACGGCAGAACTATGTCAAAATATTACGTTTTGGGTTGAAGAAGTACTGTTATGTTGGAGAACATATATAGAGAAAGAGAGAATGATTGGTTGATTTGGAAGGTGGACAAGTGGACGATCCATAATGAACGAAGTTGCAGGTTGTTGACGTCTTGGTCTTCTTTGCTATAATTACAAAACGATGGAACGATACGAATATTCTGGAACCTCTAATTTTTAACCAGCATGAGCAACACGCGTGTATCTTTATGTTCCTACACGTTTCTATCAAATGTTGAAGATATTTATCAGCGTTGCGTATCACTTTTGTAGTTCGTCACTCGCTCAAGACGTATGATTAAACGTTTTAAGTAGTGTAGACAATTATCTAGGCCCACATAAGAGTATCATGGACTCATTCTTACTTTTATTCTTATGGGTTCACGATATGGTTCTTATAGTATTATGATAAACCCACGAGACAAAATGCTTAGATATCTGATAATTAGATAGCCCAGGGTCAAGAGATCCATTGTAGTCTATGTAAAGTAGCTAATTCTCGCTAATTGAATGATTCCTCAGATGATGTAAGCGTGGTGGTATTTAATTTGTATAATTTTATTTTTTTATTTTTCAGAGGATAGATTCGTCTTGATTTCTATAACCTTTTTATTTTAATCAAACTATTATGCATGTGTAAGTACGTCTCAGTATTTGCTATTGCTTTGTAAAGATGTAAAACAAAATAAGATGAAAACCTTTATTAAAAAGATGTCAAACAAAATAAGAAAAATTCTACTCTCAAAAAAAAAAAAAACTATACAATTTTAGTGATATGTATTCAATCTTTTATGTTGGCTTAGATCGATCGTTTGAAAACATGCCACATGCAAAGTTAATCAAATACTATATTTAGAGACTCTCAAGTCTCATGTGTCCCTTTCTTTAATTTTCCCAATATAAAATGCCTAACTTCTTAATACTTAGTTTAACTGGCAAATTAGTCAATGACCTGAAAAGATTGGATAAGATAAGGATAATTGAAAGATTGCTATCTTCTTGCTATTATTTTCTCTTATTTTTCTATTCTTGACATGGAGAATAATTTTCTTGATGTTACTTATGTAAATAGATATAATATTATAGTATATATTGCGTAACATTATATTATAAAATTTGAATAAGTAGGTGACCATGTTGTCACTAGACACTTCCATATTCTATGTCTACATATAAGATTAATTCATTTATACAGATGGCATCAAATGATCCAACCTGCCACCTAAAAAATGAACTTAATTATCATATCGTGCATAAATTTTGGATAGAATATATTCTCACACAAGTTCTTTCGGCATTAGTCAGATAGTAAGGATTAGATGTCACTAGCTAAACAATGCAAAACAATTGGCCGATGTTGGTGATTGGTTTTCATAGTGTATATTTATTATTTAACCACACTATTCGCATGGCTTAGTTTTGTTTTAGAAAATCGAGATTGTAGTTCTTTCTACAATTTGGTAGTATATGTTTGTGTTTGCGGAGGGTGATCTAAGCTAATAAGCTAGGATCATCTTAGTTGTAGTTGCTAATTATTTATTTATATCATTTTGGAACTCACAAAACTATATCATGATCTGAGCATGGAACCCTGAGAAGTTAAATACTGAAATAAAATGTTAATCGGCTCATATAAACAACAAATCAACCATGTCATGTTTTTTCCTGATTATAATTATCAATTCATTGGTCTATAAGTTGATTTTCTTAATTATCATATACCGACGTGTACAATAAGCAGATGATCATTTGACAGATCTCTAACACTTTCCAACATTCGGCGATAAAGCAACAACAGAAATCACAAAAGTAGAAAATGTGTAATTAACAAATAAGGTTACGATAATACGGGTGAACCGAGGACGATTTGATTTTTTTTTAAATCACGTAGGAAACTATACATAAATTAGCTATAAACATCCAAATATAATTCAATAAGAAGCTCGATTATTGACTTACCTAGCATTATTTTCATTTGTCTTTTTGTTGGTACGTTTTACTATATATCTAAAGTTCCAATAATGGAGAGGTCTTATCGACCAATAATTAATTGGTCACACTATATTCTATTATTTAAATTGCAATTGGTTCATTACGCTCTTTATTTGGCAATTATTTTATTCTATGTGATAACAAAGACAAAACTGAACCAAAAAATGATAACAAAGACAAACTTCATACGTTTAGTTACCAGAATATATCAAACATATGCTTTCCTTATAGTAAACATTATGATATATGATGCAAACAGATTAACAAACCAAGATAATTCAATTGCATTTTCATCATTCTTATAAAACCGGGAGCTGTGAATAATATCCAACTATTTCACACATATATCACTCTAGTACCATACATGTATATTTATTTATTTTTAATTTTGGAGGTATCACTAATCCAAAGAAAAACTCAGACTAATTCTCAAAAGAGTGGTGTAACCCACAGATGGATCTTCAATTTGAGTGTTCAAATAAGTTGTAAGATAAACTCATATCCGCATGACCACAAAGTAAGATGTGGTGGAGTGCCTTCAAACCTAAATTGCTTAACCAATTTCAAAGTTCTCCTATCACTAGACCACCCATCCTGTTGTTTACCATACATATATCTTGTATGTTTATTTTTTACAATAATGACAATGTTCTTGTATGTTTATTTTTTACAATAATGACAATGTTTACCATACATGTATCTTGTATGTTTATTTTTTACAAATAACGACAATGTTTATATATATAACAAAAGATAGAAATCCATTTATACATGACCCTAGCTAGAAGATTTATTCGCGACCCCACGTGTTTCGCTATGATCTGATAATTGTTCAACATAGTTTTCCAATTATAAATACTTTATGTCTAATATGATATTATCCTATTATCTAGTTTGTTGTATGATGCATTTTCATTTGTCCATATTTTAAAAATTATAAGTAGTAGTACATAACATGATAAGTATACAATGTACTACGTACTCGTTGTAAATATCTGTCATCTTTTGTCCATTCTCGTAGTTTAACATCTAGTGAATGAGAAATTAAGGGACCTTGGTGATGTGTCAAGATATTGACGTCTTAAACATCCAATTTCACAAATGAGATGAGGTCCAGTGGGCCAGAATTTTGCTGACAAGCGACATCTCACCCATTATTGGTCCACGTGTTTTATTGTTATCCTCCAAAAAAAGTAACATTTAAATTATAGGTGTAGTAATTGTGTTATAGTATTAACTATTAAGAAAGACAATGGTATTTTTTCAGTAAACAATACTAGTTTTTCAGTTTTAAAAAATATATTTTTGAAATTATTAATTGTTTTAACTTTACAAAGAGAATGGTTGACGAGCAATAAATATTGATAACGAAAATGAGTCATAGTGGAAACAAATGAATCCCACAATTGCTAAATGATATTATTTATTTTAATAGTAAGAGTACACGTCATGTCCCTATTAGTCCACGTGAAGTAATCCGACGTGTCTGTTTTACTGATTAAGAGGTGAAAATAAGCAGACGTGTCATTCATCTTAGGACAATCCAATAATTGTGCACATAGTCTGGGCTACGCTCGCCTGCGGACAATCCTATTATAAGTCTTTTACAGCAACATGTAGGTACTAACTACCATATCTTATTTGTGAAAGAGAACATACTAAGACATTAAGTAATGTAATTTACAGCAACCCCATTGCTCCGATATCTAAATGGACCAAATAAAATTAGTATTTTAATAGAAATTAGTCATTTAATTAACTTTTGTTTTAAAAGGAATTGAGTGGTTTAGTAAGTAGCAAGTGGTTAATTTCTAAAGAGTATCTCAAGTCTTTTTTTTTTAGAAACTCTTACTATTTTTTCACATTTTTTGTTAAATTTACAAAATATCTAAGAATATATGTGTTTTTAGCGTTGATCTGCCCAAAGCTTAAAATCAAATATATGAAACAAAAAAAACTTCAAAATCCATGAAAACAAATTTTAGAAATTATATGTTGTCCTATCACCATTGAGATTAAAATTAAAAACAAATGTATATATTTTAATACAAACCAAATCTTAAAAAGAGCTCTGCAATAATACATATAACTCCATTTTCTTTTTGTGCACAAGTATAAGTTCATTAAAATCATGATTTATATCAAATCTCCTTGTGTTATAATACTAAAAAAAAAAAAAACAATGGAGGAGATTGTGAGAATGTAAAGAGCTCACGATAAGAACGTGAGACTGACCACACGTGAACACTCTTGTTTTATCTCTTACTTTTGTCAGTTTGTCGTTTACTTGTAATAAGTCGTAACTCACATAACCATTGTCAGTTTGTCGTTTACTTGTAATAAGTCGTAACTCACATAACCAATGAGCTTATCTCTTCACCACATCTCTCTATAAAAATGATCTCATCTCCTTCATTTGAAACTCCCCCATTTGAGAGTCTTACACGACAAGCAGATCAAAACCCATAAACCCAATTTCTAAAATCTGTTAGAAAAATTATCATATTTTCTTCTCTCTAATGGCGTCAAGAAAGCATTTTTTTGGCAAGCCTAAATACATCTATCCACAACCAGAACCAGATATGTCCGAAAACGACGAGAATGTCTTTGAGTTCGAAGAATCCGACATTCATAACTTAGGCGATCACCAGTTGCCGAGTTCATTCGAGGCCAAGAGATCGATATCAATCTCTCGGTTACGGAGAAAACCGGCGAAACTCGGAGATTCCTCTGTTTCCGTTAACCGGAAAGCGCCAAAGACCGGTTCGCTTCCGGTTAACATCCCCGATTGGTCGAAGATTCTTAAGAGTGAGTATAGGAGCCATGCGGTAGTGCCAGACTACGACAGCGACGAAGATGAAGAAGACGAGGAAGATATCAACGATGGTGACACGGCGGTGGCGACGGGAGGAAGAAGGATCATTCCGCCGCACGAGTATTTAGCGCGGCGGAGAGGATCTTCGTTCACGGTGCACGGTGGAACGGCTAAGGGAAGAGATCTAAGGATATTGAGAAACGTGATTTGGGAGAAGATTGGATTTCTGGATTAGTGTAATGATGATAAACTAATCTTATTAATTATATAACTATTCTAATAGGTAGTATAGATATGTTAATCAGTTAAACTCAGTTTGGATCGCTTATAGTTTCGGTCCGAATGAGAATTTTTTCGATATTTTTTTTTGTTTTGTTTATTTCGTCTTCTTGTTTTACTTTTTATATTTTTTTGTGGAGTTTTGATCATCGTATCCTTTTCGTGTAGGTAATGATAAACGAAAATTTGTATTTTCCGCCTTAAAAGGAGTGGTATTTATTTATATATATTAACATAATTTCGTTTATAATTTTTTCATCAATCTAAAGCAAATAAGTAAGCGATAAATATAACAATGAAATATTAATTGTTGAATGAAAGTGACCTAAAACAAAACTGAAATCTTGTTCAACATTAATGTGCTTACTATATTAAAATCAAATAAAGGAAAGTAAAAATATTTTGCCTGAAAAAAGAAACAAAGAAAATGAACCTATTAAACTTTCTAGAATTTCTAAACCAACCAACACATAAAAAACGGGATTATTCACTCAAAAATATTCAACAAAAGTCTTCACAGGACATCTATTGGAAATTTTGAAACCTTGATGGTCATATACCAAGTGTCTCGTCTGTTAAAGGTCGCGATTTGAATCATAGGTAGTAAACGATAGGCCATGAAAGTCTTCAGCTAGAAATGATGTGTTTAGTACATTTTCATTTTCACTTCACAAACATCAAAGAGAACGCTAGATTACGTACTGTATTTTAAAGTTGAAGTGATATATCTTTTCTTAATAGCTTTTTTAAAAAGATAATAATGATACAGTCATTGAAAGTTACTGCAATTTCTATTTTCGTGTCTACCACTATCTGCTATGCTTTTGCACAACAGTTCAAGATTTGACATTTTTTTCCTTTTCTTTTTGTTGGGTTTGTCAAAAGTTGCAAATATTCCCTTTCTCTTGTTAATACGCATTACTTGCTTCGTAAGTTTGTCAAAATGTAAATTTGTCTTTCAAACAACCATAGAGGCAACTGCTATTAACGGAAATACTACTTCACACGTGATGTTTGTATTTGTTGAGTAATACATACTTCTCACGTGATGTTTATATTGAAAACAGGAAATTTAAAGTTTTTTTTTGTTAAACAGTCGGGAAAAATTGTAAAGGCAAACGTAAAAACCATGTGATAAAAATTCTCAAAAGGTATTTGAGATCCAAAAATTTGACATATATGTAGTACGCACTAACGCAAATATTACAATGGTTTGGTAAAACAAAGCATCAGAAATCGAAATCGAATATTGTAAAGAATATGTTGAATTTGGAAATGTGGTAACCACACTGTTGCATACATAGATGCAGTCAAGTGGCAAACAATCGGCGCCCTCAGTTTGGTGTTAATAAGAGACGTTGGTTTTGCACTCTTCCAATATATTCACAAAAATAGACTGAGTTATGCTTAGTTTGGTATATTAACTAGTTTTGTTAATGAGGACTTTTTAAATAATAACATTGGCTGAAAAAAAGTTATATGCACGATCTCACGCTAATTAGATGATATTAGAGCCTAAAGAAGCAATAAGTAGTGAATTAGAAAATGTCATATACATGTATATATTGAGGTTTTTGTCAAGCAAACCTATAATTTTTCCCCATCAATCGATTATTATACTACATAGTAGTTATGTTTTCTCTTAGTTCGTGCAAAATCTTAATTCAGCTCTCATACTTATGTTTGACTTTTAGGCATCACAACTCTAATTAGAATATAAACCTAATCTAATCTTAGGAGAATTTGCTAGAAACTCTAGATTCAATTCTGTCTCTCACGTATATACATGTGTATGATAACTAATGCTTTAACATTATTGTTTTGGTTTTCAAAATAAGTAATGTCGTGTAGATTGAAAATTCTAAAGGCCTAAAAGTATAGCCTTGCACGAGCACGAAGACCAGACATTATATTTGTATAGTATGTGTTATATCCCATAATTACTTTTCCAAAACACACTTTGTTGTGCTATATTTGATATAATTTTTTTGGTTGAACACATTTGCAGATTTTATATTTTTAAAATACCCATACTAATACTAATAAATAAAACGGGAGGCTTGCAATGTGACATCAACGTAAACATACATATAGATGGTTAAATCAAGTTTGTTCGTGCATCATGCATGTGTATCTCGCTAGAAGAACAGGGCATATATTAATGAACAGAAACCCACGAAACTATCTTATTTTATTGAACTTTTCAAGAGGCAGAAAAATTCAGAAGTCTAAGACCACTTTTTTCTCCTCATTCTTCTGCTCGAGACTTGTTCCTTATCTCTTTGGAATTTGCTAAAAAAGATTACGATATTTGTCCTAAAATTTCTCTCTTTTTCTTTTATATATCCTCTGATCTCTATTCTCAGTTTTTACTATACGTACCCTCTTTCATTACGAGCTCAGAAGTCTCTGAAAAGTTACTTCTCTTCCAAAATGGCGTTTATGAGACTTGGCTCCAAATCTGAAGCTTTCCATCGCGAAGGCCAAACTTGGTACTATTTTCTGCATTTTACCTAAACATGCAGGCATTTGTATGTATTAAATACGATTTTGCCTTTTGATTTTTTTTTATCAAGCCTACATTTGTTTGATAACCTATTGTATTTTGTATACAGAACACTAACGTGGTAAAAAATTAGGTCATGCATTTGACGTATATAACTTAACAATAAACATTAGTGTTACACATTCCTGAAAATAAAAATTATAAAGAAAATTTGAGATAAAATTGTATGATATACAAAGAAAAAGTGCTAGGTTATATATATTGACTTTTGACATCATGCAATCATAATGTTTTTGGGGGTGATGTTTATGTCTCTCGTCTACAGGCTTTGCACCACAGGACTGGTGAGTGACGTTACCATAGAAGTTGGAGATATGAAGTTTCATCTCCACAAGGTTATATAATGTGAAAGCCTGATGATTAACTAGAATATTAATATCTCCATCGTGTAACGTGTTTCTTCATTCGTGGTGTATAGTTCCCATTGCTCTCTAGAAGTGGATTTCTTGAGAAGCTAATCGAAGAGTCTTCAAGTGATGATGGATCAAGCTGTGTTTTGAGTTTAGATGACATACCAGGAGGCGGCAAAACGTTCGAGCTCATAACAAAATTTTGCTACGGTGTGAAAATCGAGCTTACTGCATTGAATGTAGTTAGCCTAAGATGTGCAGCCGAGTACCTTGAGATGACTGATAACTACGGAGAAGGGAATCTTGTCGGTATGACAGAGACTTTCCTTAACGAAGTGTTTGGTAACTGGACAGACTCCATCAAAGCTCTTCAGACATGTGAGGACGTAACTGATCACGCTGAAGATCTTCACATCATCTCAAGGTGTGTTGATTCTTTAGCTATGAAAGCTTGTGCTGATCCAAGCCTTTTCAACTGGCCCAAGAACGCAACGAGCGGGCAGAACACTGAAGATGATTCTCATTTGTGGAACGGAATCTCACCGTCCGGAAAGACGATGCTGCAACCAACAGGTGAACAAATGCTACTCCCAACATTTTTAAAGTTCCTAACCAAAAATTTTAACAACATTCTTAGAGCATGACTAACCCTGGATTCTTAAGGCGGGATTCTTAGCGGAAACTAAGAAATTGTTTTTTAACTTTTAACTAAAAACGCTAAGAACCAGTTATTAAATAAGGACTTTAAGAACCGGTTCTTAGCGTTTTTAGTTAAAAGTTAAGAAACAGTTTCTTAGTTTCCGCTAAGAACTCCGCCTTAAGAACCCGTAGTTAATCATGGTCTTAAATTTTTTGATTATATATATTTACTATATAAATCAAATTATACTTTCATAAATTAATTTAATCTATTAAAAATTGGTGAAGAAAACTCTACAATTTTTAATTTTATTGAAATGTCAGTTATAATAGTGACAGTTATGTTAATAATTATTTTACTAAAGATTGGTTTGCTCTCTGGACCTGCTGTGGTGAAGATTGGTGGTTAGATGATGCTTCTTTTCTCAACTTGTCTCTCTTCAAAAGACTCATCACAGCTATCGAATCACGAGGCATGAAGCTTGAAAACATTTCCATGGCTGTTATATACTATACAAAGAAACATGTTCCTCTAATGAACAGACAAGTGACAATGGATGAGCAAGTGATCGAGACACCGACCACTTCTGAAGCCGAACAAAAAGATGCTCTAGAAGAGATTATCAGTTTACTTCCGACCAAGAAAGGTGTAAATCCGACCAAGTTCCTCCTCAGGCTGCTCCAGACCGCCATGGTATTGCACACAAGCCAATCTTCAAGGGAGAATCTTGAGAGACTTATAGGAAATCAACTTGAGCAAGCTGCTCTAGTTGATCTTCTTATACCAAACATGGGATACTCTGAAACGCTTTATGATGTTGAATGCGTTTTGAGAATGATAGAGCAGTTTGTCTCATCAAATGAACAAGCAGGCATGGTCCCTTCTCCTTGCATCATTGAAGAAGGACATATGGTGAAAGATGGAGCTGAAATGCTTACTCCTCCAACGTTAGTTGCTACTCTTGTCGATGGTTATCTCGCTGAAGTGGCTCCTGATGTTAACTTGAAGCTGGCAAAGTTTGAAGCCATCGCTGCTGCAGTTCCTGATTATGCAAGACCATTAGATGATGGAGTTTATCACGCAGTTGACGTGTTCTTGAAGGTACCAACAACACTTTTTCTCGTATTAATAATATTTTGAGGATAGAAGTGAAGCATTGAAAATCTCTTTAAAAAAATGTTTTTCAATAATGAACTTAGATTAAATTTATAAAAAAACAGAGACACACATATTATAAGAAGTTTTTTTTATATTTGGATAAATTTTAACATTCTTTAAAAATAAATAAATTTGAGGGTTTAATGGTGGATTTTTTTTATAGGCGCATCCGTGGATTACGGATTCGGAAAGGGAGCATATATGTAGACTCATGAACTGTCAGAAGCTCTCATTGGAAGCAAGCGCACATGCAGCTCAGAACGAGAGGCTGCCTCTTAGGGTGATTGTTCAGGTTCTATTTTTCGAACAGCTTAGGCTCAGGACATCTATATCGAGCTGGTTCTTTGTCTCGGAGAATCTAGACAACCCGGAGCACCAGAATGGTTGTGTACTTAAACCTAGAGGTGAGAACGTGAGGGAACGAGTTTCTGAGCTGGAGAAAGAGTGTATGAACATGAAACAAGAGCTTCAGAAGCTGGTGAGGTCTAAGAGAAGTTGGAAGAACTTCACTAGGAAGCTTAACTTCAAGAAGAAATCAGAATGTTGCAAGCCTAAGGATCAAGAAAAGCCAGTCGTTTAATAATAACTTCACTAGTGTTGTTATCTTCTCTTTTTTTTTTATTCACTTAGGTAGATTTGTTAACTTCACCAGTCGTTTAATAATAACCTCTATGATCGAAACGATTTGCTATGTTTTTTTCTTGTTTTCTCTTAGTATCTCGCTGAGAGATTTGATGGTTTTAGCCTTTTAGATTCTCATGTTCTTGACTTTAATTGCGTCTTAATGTTAGTTACAAAAAAGATGTATGACCTATAACTTTCACGCAAGTCCTGAACCAACTAATCTTCAGGTAAATAAATAATATCATAGTATAATCTAAAATTATTCTATATTGATATTCATATGCCTCCCAAGAACAGCCTCGAACACTTTATTCTTTTAATGACTATTAAATAAGCAAATAAAACACACAGAAATAAAGAAAAGCCAGTGATTGAACTGAAAACATTGGTTGAATCGAACCAACTAATTGAACAATTAGCAAGTCTGAATGACTTGGTTGAAGAATGAACATTTGAATCTCATGCTGGAATGAATAATGAGACGTCACGAGAGAGAGAGAGAGAGGAAGCTGAAGAATCAAAACTGTTGTTGCTGATTGCTCCTCTGCTTTGTTATTGTGTTTTAAGAAAAGAAAAGAACATAGATTTTGGTTGCTTCAGTTTTTTTTGGCTCTTCATTTTTCTCTTGTTGTAATGTTATGTATTATACATATCATGCCGTTTCGTAATTTAGCCTACTCACTTCATGCCGTTTTAATCGAAGAAGAAACATTCGCTGTTAAAAAAAAGTCTTCGTCTAACTTTTTGTCCTAACGCAGAATATAATTATTCCAGTGTGTCGTGTCTGTCGAATAATTTTGGTTTCAGCGCTGAAACTGAAAGAGATGACCATGGCAGCAAACTTGGCGAGACGGATAATCAGAAACCAATCAAACCAGATCCTTTCTACAGTGAACTCTAGCACTTCCGTGGCTAGGGCTTTCTGCTCGTCCTCAACCACTCCAATCACCGCAACCTTATTCCCTGGAGATGGGATCGGTCCTGAGATCGCTGAATCCGTCAAAAAGGTTTCTCGTTTTTTTAAATACTTTTATTCGAAATTTGTTTTGACTTTTCTGCCCATTTGCGTGGTGATCAATCCACCAGGTGTTTACAACGGCTGGTGTGCCTATTAATTGGGAAGAACATTACGTCAGCACTGAGATAGATCCGAGAACACAGAGTTTCTTAACATGGGAGAGTCTTGAATCTGTGCGTAGAAACAAAGTTGGTTTGAAAGGTCCAATGGCTACTCCTATTGGGAAAGGTCACCGTTCTTTGAATCTGACTCTTAGGAAAGAGCTGAACCTATACGCCAATGTTAGACCTTGCTATAGTCTTCCTGGTTACAAGACTCGTTACGATGATGTTAATCTCATTACCATTAGGGAGAACACTGAAGGAGAATACAGTGGCCTCGAACATCAGGTTTTTAGTTTTTTTTTGAGAAATTCTGGTTGGTTCTTTTGTAAGAAGTGTTTTTTTTTTTATTTCTTGACTCGTGTTATATAGGTTGTTAGAGGTGTGGTGGAAAGTCTTAAGATCATTACACGTCAGGCGAGTTTGAGAGTTGCGGAGTATGCTTTTCACTATGCTAAGACTCATGGAAGAGAGAGAGTTTCTGCTATTCACAAAGCCAACATTATGCAGAAAACTGATGGTCTTTTCCTCAAGGTCTACACCTGATATCGCTGGAAAGGTTAGTCATTATTTTCTCAAAGCAACTAAACTCCCATCAAATCAAATCAGTTGGTAGCATGATGAAGTTGATTTCAAATGCTCTTTAGTATAACGTTTGACTTAGAATTGGTTGGTTCTTCTTGTACAGAACATGGCAAACCCAACAGCGTTGCTGCTGAGTGGAGTGATGATGTTGCGTCACCTGAAGCTGAACGAACAAGCAGAACAGATCCACAGCGCAATCATCAACACGATAGCAGAAGGCAAATACAGAACAGCAGATCTTGGAGGTAGTTCGACCACCACGGATTTCACAAAGGCAATCTGTGATCATCTCTGAACAACAATCGTAAAAAAAAAAATCCTCAAATTCTTTTTTTTTTTACCGAATCTTTTCTGTGGGGGATTGATTTTAAACCTTTTATACAGCTTCCAAAATTCTTCATGTTTATTTGATTACGATTTAGAATAATAATAAAAGAAAACAACAGAGCATTGTCTTTTTTTTTTCTCTCTTGATCAAGTTTTTTTTTGGAGTTCCTTTGATATTTACAGACTTGTCTCTGAAGTAAGGAGCAAGAGTGAGATTTACACAATGATCATTGATATTTACAGACTTGTCTTTGTTTTGTTCTTCTTCATTGCATAACATTTGCTGCTACAGTCTTCAGAAGAGTCTACCAACAAAATGAACTAACATTACTTTATTTTAAAAACGGAGAATATTAATGTCGTTCGTGTGCCAAGCAACAACCGCTGAGCGCTCATTTGAGTAGTATAAACTGAGGGCTTTCACCAGGGCCGTTAAATAGAGCGATCGAACACGGTCCTAAATACAAAAATAAAAAAATATAAGAAAAAAATAAGGAAAAATTAAGAATTTTTTAAAAATATATAGATAAATTATGATATTTTTTTTTAAAAAAACTTAGATATATTGCTAGATTAGAACTTATAATTTTTAAAGAAACATTAAACATAGTTATTAACTTTTAAAAAAATTTCATTAAATCATAAATATATCATTAATATATCGTTAATTAGATATATTGCTGAATATTGGTATTGCCTGTATCATTCTGAAGCCTACCTAAAGGTGGAGATGACAGAAGATGAGATAGTTGACTGGTCCAGGAAGGTGGAGGAAGACCAATCTGCAATGGAGGGAAGACCATGGACCATGGAGGAGAAGATTCAATTCTGGGAGTGTGAGACCTATCTTTTTCTATCAGGAGTATAAAGCTATGAAAAACCTGTGGGAGCAACATGAGAAGATGGTCTGGAGTGGCGTTAAAGAATAAGGTTTATGTTTATCTGCGTGTTTGGTGTGTTTGAATAAGGTTTATGTTTATATATGTGGGCTTGGTGTGTTTGATGTTCGAAAAACTTTTTGTGTCAGGTGTGTTTTAATCTGAAAATAAGTTACAAGAGTCGCACGGAAGACCAACAATCTCTGCCTTCAATAAATCAATAGGCTTGCAGCAATAGTAAAAATCATGCCTTAATAACCTGGAATAATTGTGCTCTAGTGAACCATAATTAAGTAGTGAAGACTCTTGTAATATTATAAACTAGGATTGTGGGCATAGTAATGTTTAATCTTGTTACACTCTAAATCAAAAAATATTTTGCCTATAAGATTGCATTAAACTCTTGTGTGGCCAACTATTTCTACTTTTGAAACATTCATTTTGGCTGAAAACAGGGGAAGCCATTCAATTTATAGCTTTAAGTAAACTAATCATATCTTCCTAAAAATAAAAGTAGAATTTCATATAGAAAAAACAAGCAGGTAAGTGGATAGTAAGCAAATAAAATTACAAATGCTTAGTCGACCTTAAAAATATATGCTTGCTTTTACTCATTTTATGCAAACTCAGTTTAAAACTACATATGTAACTAGTTAAATACATAATAGAACTTTGGATAAAAAAAAAATACTCTTATCGAAGTACGTCAACCCCAGTGTGAATTGTTTAGTGTATAATGATATAATCAAATCAACACTTGGTTATTCTGTTATATAAAGAATTACAGATAACGTATCAGATAGCTCTATATATTTTATCTATTGATATGGTGTGGTTGGTTTGAACATAGGGATGGTAAGAAACTATAAGTTGAATAGACTTGATTCTCAAATATGGTTGTTTACATAATGCATGATGTTTTGGTATTGGTCTATGATCTAGAACAACTGTAACATTTTATTTTTTAGTTTAAAATCATAAAATAATGCATTGACCCTTTTGAAATGGACTAGTTTTAGTTATAATATTTGACAATTGACATGTAACATTTAATATATGACGCACATATGATAATCGACAAAAGAGTGTTGCTAATGACTACATCAGCATAATCTTCACTGCGACTAACGTTTGCAAAAATAGACCACAATTACGTATGCGCTTAATTAAAATTTGCCTACCTAACAAGTTTTTTTCTATTTAAATTACCCAAGAACTGGCTTTTGGGTTTCTCAAATCATTCATGACCCATGCCATAAAATTTAAATATGCTGTATTATTTACATGTTGATTCAAAATAATCTCTTGTTTTTTGGCATGATTTTTTAACTTATTTTATTTCATCTAGTACTTTACATATCTCATTAGGTATCATATACAGCATGAATTTGTCAATCTAGGCTTCATGAAATTAAGCGTATATTTTATACTATTCAACTAATTCTTATAAACAAATTGAAGCACTATTTACAAAGCATCCATATGATTCACCGCCACAACATATAACCTAGATCATTGTTTAATTGTTCCCAAGAATGATAAACTATTTACATGTACATCTTGTTGAGATGAATACTGCGTGAATTAAAATTAATTTAAGGTTGGGGTCTGCCTGAAATAATTGAATTCAATAAAATGAATGGGTGCCACGTGTGATTCTTACCCTGATGATTTTTTTTTTAAATGACATATCGCGGTCGATATGATTGGGGAAACTTCAAAATTTGCAGGCAAGTTTTATTTGCCTCTTTAAGCAAATTTTAACATATTGCGTTTGCATGCTAATCCTTCTTAAATGCATCCTTACCTATACATTGATCTTCTTGGGATTTGGTAAAAAGCCGTAAATAGTGCTAATGAACAGAAAACCATGACTCATTCATTACTACCAATGGAAGTAAAAGACATAAGTAACAGTTTTACAGGTAAATAAAACCATAAATGCATTGGTTGAACTTTGATTCGGTTCGTAATCAGAAAAATAGATTAGAATCAAAGCTAGATTCTGCACTCCCTGATTTTAAATAAATCAAAGATTTTGGTACATTTTTATTGTAATTTTCCCTTACATCAATGTAATTAGTTATACTGATTTTTCTTTAGTAGACTTCTTTGGAAAACGTTCTTGTAGTCTACACAAGAAACAAAATAGTACACTACTACAGAATAAAATAAAGAAAAAGAATCTTAAAGAATGCCAAAAAGAATTAAATAAATTAATTAACCCTTGACCGTTCATATTACTCATCCAACGGCTAAGGCTTCTCGTGACCCAAAGAGTTAAAACAGAAATTCATATAAATATTATCGCATTTTGCGCGTTTTCTCATTTTATTTTTTACTTTCTGGGTTTCACGCATCCAAAAAGAAAAAAGGCAAGAACTTTAATTTTATTCGAATTATTCTCGATCCTTTTTGTGTGCTCATCATCTTGCCCAAAAATTCATATCTTTTAAGAAGAGAAAGTGCGTAAAAGAAACCCATTTGAATATATGTTTAGTTCCAACCCAAAGTCTCAACCTTTAATCCCCAAATCCTAAAAAAGTTTGCTACTTATAGTAAAATTTAGTTCCTTCTTCAAGTTGCAGAGATTTAGCAAGTGAAAGGTGTGAGCTTTCTTCATCTTTCGATCTAACTCCTTCTCAATACAAAACCATTTCTCTTTTCTCAGATCTAGGTCTTATATTCCTTTTTACCTGATTGGTTTCTGATTCAAAGTGGAAAGCTTTTAGTTTTCTAATTTTGGCTTCCATTGTATCTAGTTTAAGTGTATAGTGTAGGGAACACGGAACTGATTCACATTGCCAAGAGTTTTTTGTAATTCTCTAGAGTCACATTTCCTCTTTGTTGAAAAGTCTCTGTTGTTTTGTGACGTCTCCCAAGGTTTACGCAACTTTAACGGTCAACCATTCAATGATTTTGGAGTGTTATTTAAGTTTTTTTGAAGAATTCTAGTTTGATTTGTATATGGATAAGGTTGACGTTTCTTAATGAAAATCTTCAACTCTATTTTTTTTAGCAGAGATGGTGTCACATGAAGAGAACACAAGTATTGTGGAATGGTTTCTTGGTCCTAATCCATTCACGTATCCACCTTATGGCGTTGAGATGATTCATGAGGAAGAAGAAGAAGTTCATCATCATCATAATTATCATCATCAGACTGGTGAGTATTTCAGAGAGTTTGAAGAAGATCATCGTACTAGCAGCGATGTAGATAATGATGAGATCATTGCAAGAACTCTCCAAGACGATTTTTTGCAGCTTCAAATTGCAGAGGAAAATAATAATTATTCAAATCATCATCAACCAGAAGAAGAAGGTTATACTAACAACTATAACAATAATAGTAACGAATATGGTTGGAACGAGCAACCAGCTGTGGATTACTCTTCAGGTTATTCGTTGGTTTATGCTTTTGTTGTGTCTGTTTATGTTTTGGAGATAGGATTTACAATAGAATTGTGTTTTTTTTTTTCCGGTTTGGTGGTGTAGAATGGGTAGGGAATGATAATGAGCAAGACTGTGATTCGCCTAATATCTTCTCGTGTTCAAGCCCGAGTGACACGGATGAGTATGTGTACTCTTGGGAATCAGACCAGTGTGAGGCTGATGGTGAATTTGGGAGGAGATTGAATCAGATGGTTCCCATTCCTGTAAGTACTCAACACAATATTTTATAACTTGTTGAGACAATATGGCCTATCATTTTTGACAAATCTTAATCATAATATATATATGCAGTATGTGCCGAAAATAAACGGAGAGATACCTCCTGAAGAAGAAGCAGTTTCAGATCATGAAAGACTTCAGAATAGGTAATGTACTAATTACTTGTTCCATGTTATATAAATAAACCGTTATTGATTCCATTTTGTTTCAGGTTAGAGATGTTTGACTTTGCTGAGGTCAAAGTTCCTGGTGATGGTAACTGCCAGGTACTTTGTTTATCATTTCCATAAATAGAAGAATCATTCTAGAGGAACTAGACTTGTCTCATCATTTTTGTGAACATTAACTTTTTTTTTTTTGTTACAGTTCCGGGCTTTAGCGGATCAACTATACAAAACCGCAGATCGTCACAAACACGTTAGACGACAAATCGTCAAGCAGGTTTGATGATCTTTTAGCTGTTCATGTGTCTTTAACAAATTCATATGAACTCATTTCCTGCAACTTTTCAACTCTTGGTTTAGCTCAAAGCTAGTCCGGAGTCTTATGAAGGATATGTGCCTATGAAGTTCTCTGAGTATCTAAGGAAGATGTCTCGGTAAGAATCTTCTTTCTTAGAAACTCTATATAGCATTTCTTGAACCAGAGTTTTTGTTAAAAGCATTAGCATTCGAATTTGATAACAGGAGCGGCGAGTGGGGAGATCATGTTACATTACAAGCAGCTGCAGATGTGGTATAGTTTCCTCAAACTTATGAAAAAAAAACATGAAGTGATCGTCTTATAGTTTTCATTATACTGTAGTTAACACAGTTTTTGGTGAACACTTTTGAATCTCTGCAGTATCGGGTGAAAATAGTAGTGCTAACATCATTCAAGAATACATGTTATATCGAAATTCTTCCTACATCTCAAGAATCGAAAGGAGGTAAAGAGTTTTGGTCCACTTTTATCTTTTTTTGCTTGTTTGTTTATGCATGTCATACATCATAGTGATTTGTTATTCTGCTTGTTATTTGCAGTAATCTTTTTGAGCTTCTGGGCGGAGGTTCATTACAACTCTATCTATTTAAACAGTGGCAAGTTCTACAAACTTTTGACTCATATAGACAGCCTCTGTTTATTGCTTTCTATTTTTCCATCATCTTCTTCATGTGCATTTGTGGTTTTCAGATACATCTGCGACGGAGCTACAGAGGAGGAAAAAATGGTGGCGTTTTGGAAACTAGATAGAGAGCATTGATCATCATCATCATCATCATCATCACTGCCTATAATTATATTTATTGACTTGAGAGAAAGAGAGGGACATGTTCTTAGAAAGTTGTCCCTTCGTAGAGAGAGGGGATGAACAAAGCTCACAAAGCTTCAAAGTCTTACAATAATGTAACTTTCTTCTTTAAAAAGAAAGGTCTATTTAAAATGTTAACAAATTAAATAAAATTACTCAAACATTTTGGTCTGCAACTTATTCAGCTCGTGAGAGCAAATTGTAATTTCTAATTTCATAAAGTTCTCACTTCACTTCACCACTAGTCTAGTCTCATCATAGCTGCTTACTTCAAACAAAAATAAACACTGAGAAGCAAAAATAAACTGATAAAACGTATTGTGTAGTGATGATAACATACAGAGTTTTCTGTATCACACACAACTTTTAACTTAGAAAAGAAAAAGACAACTACTTAAGAGGAATCATAATCGTAACTATAAAGATCATCGTCATCTGCAGCAACCCCTGAAGTAGCAAAGGGATCAACACCTGCACCACCAGTAGGACGCCGTTGTATCAAACCTAAACTCAGTTCCAATCCCTCTAGACTGCTGCAACCTCTGAGCAAAAGCCTGGTACTTGCGAATATCAGCATCACTCACACTCCTCCTCGCATACTTCATCGACTCTTCAAAATGAGCAGCTCTAATCTCCGCCACCAAATCTTCCTCCATAGCCTCTGGATTCTCCCCCCTCCTACACTCCCTCTCTATATCCTTCTCAATGTTCTTCTCTAATTGTATACTTACACGTTCTCTGACAAATCTCAGTGATATCAGCACCACTAAATCCCTGAGTGACTAAAGAAAACTTTTACATCTTCAGCTCGTTTCATGTTCTTTGTATGGATCTTAAGAACTTTAAGACGTCCAATATCATCAGGAACACCAATATCAATCTCCCTATCAAACCTCCCAAACCTTCTCAAAGCAGGATCAATACTATTGGGACGATTCGTTGCTCCCATGACAATAACATGAGCACGAGACTTCAAACCATCCATAAGCGTAAGAAGCTGAGAGACAATCCTCCTCTCAACCTCACCATTAGTCTTATCTCTTTTAGGTGCAATAGAGTCAATCTCATCGATAAATATAATGGAAGGAGCGTTCTTCTCAGCCTCCTCAAACGATTTCCTCAAATTACTCTCACCGGCCATTTTGGACATGATCTCAGGCCCATTAGTACAGAAGAAGAACGCTCCGGCGCGAGCAATGAGAGTCTTTCCTGAGCGAGGAGGTCCGTAGAGTAAGATACCCTTTGGTGGCTTTACACCAATTGACTTGAAGAGCTGTAGATGCCTCAAAGGAAGTTCAACGAGTTCTCTAATCTGAGCCATTTGTTCCCTGACACCACCAACGTCATCATAACCGACTTCATCTAGTCTCATAGACAATTTTCGGGTTTATTAGATTATGTAATATGGTCAATTCCTATTTCTTTTGACACTTGGAAACTCTATAAAATGGATTCTTTGATACTCAAATTACAGTACATTCTGCTGTGTTGATTCAACATGCTGATTCATGTTCTCGCATCAGATACATTCTTGGTTTTGAAGATGCACTTCCTTTGGAGCTTGCGGGTTTTATTGAACTTTATCTCTTACATCATCTTTTGCTTATAATCTATGGCTCTATGTTTCCATGACATTTATAGTCTGCTCGTAACAAAACCACCTTAGCCTTGTTACACTTATATTATTATTATTATTATCCATAACCATTGCAACATTCAAGGAATAACCCACACTCTCTCAAACAGTTGATCTGTATTCAAAACTTGTTCCTGGTTCTTCAGTGGAAGGGAAAGCCTCCAATCCAGTAACCATGGCTGCAGGAGGGCCACGGCGACACCTCTGCTGCATCTCTTCCACAGCTTGAGTTGGTCCAGAGAAGAGCGCTTCCACTGAACCGTCCCTGCGGTTCCTCACCCATCCCTTAAGCCCGAGCTGCTCTGCATTCTCAACGGTCCAGTTCCTGTAACAAACTCCTTGTACTCTTCCCTTTATCACCATCCTCACCTGCCCCACCAACACAATTTAAATCCTGAATCTATAATTACCATAGAAGCAATGTATATGCAATGTAATCCAATGGTTGAATTGAAAGCAATATCTCTCTCTCTAATCAGAATCAAACGAATTCGATAGCCTAACCATTATAAATAAAACCCATAGAAAAAGTTTTCAACTTTAATAATTCCAACGAAATACGTCACCGTTTTGGAAGAATCGGATTGATGGGGAGCCCCAGATTCAGCCTGAGTTGACATGGAGGACATAGGAGGAGATGAGCGAAGCCAAAGAAGAGGACGATGATTAACAACAGAGATGCAACGACGCTGAAACGGAAGAAGGGAGAGGCTACGAGGATTATGGGTGGTTCTCAACAGTGAATCAGATACGTGTGAGAGCTTCGTGAGACTCAGGAATCGGATTCGATTTCCGACATTTGAGGCCATTTGTGTGAGCATTTTGGATTTGTCCGAAACTGTTCTGTTATTTCCTCTAACGACTTCGGTTATGTCTAATTATCCGGTTCGGTTGTGTATGGTTCGGTCTGATCATATTGGCCCACAAAGAATGAATGAATTTCAAAACCCATTCTGAATGCCCGGCCCATATTCTCTCGGTTTATTAAGGAAATGATTAATTTATGTAATTACAGACACGACTATTCAAAAAAAAAGAGTAAAACCAATGTTTAATAAACACAGGTATGTGTTGCTCAAAAAAAAAATAGAAAAATACAGGTATGTTACAAAAAAAAAAATACAGGTAAATCTTAAATGGAATATTAAAGTTAGCCTAACATTGAATAAAGTTTAAGTTCAAAGTGTTTGACAAGTTTACAGAAATTAATGGAAGGGTCAAATTAGTTTTCAATATTTTTGAGAAAAAGTCAGAATTCAAATAAACGTTTCTTGGACTATAGTGGCTTCCCTCGTGTAACAGAGAGGACTGGTTTTGTTTTTTTTTTCAACTAAAAGACATTATAATGGATAAGATATAGTTGAAAAAATCGTAAATTACTCCATTTAACAAAAAAAAAAATCAATAAACTTTGATTAGTATTAACCCAAGCTGATGATATTTCTCTTCAAGATTGTTGACATGGAAATATCAGTTTGGGTTTGAGTTTCCCTATATTTCATTTGTAACCGGCTTAAAAGCTACATGATGCATGTACTAGTGTTAATCCCAGTTGATCGTATGGTACCATGTGGATGTTCTACATCCACAGTCCACACTATAAATAAGGATATAAGTATTTGTAATGTTTAGATTGGACCATTTTGGATATATAAAGTTCATGTATTCACAAAAAAAATAGACTTCAATAGACTGTTGTACATATATAAATACATATTAAGTTTAATTAAAGTGTAGTGATAGTGTAGGGATTGGATTTTTTTTTTATGCACTGGGTTCAAATCACTCTTGATACAAAGTGTGACTAAAACCACAATAATGAGAGATGATGTAAAAACAAATCAGAGCAAAATGTGGGAAAGGGAATATACATTTGTCTACAACTACAAAATAAGATTTTGTCCAAAATAAAACTACAAAATAAGACATATCTTTCTATTTTCCCAATTCATTATATATTCCAGCTGCAGAAGTGTGGACCCTACAAGTGGGGAGGCTTTACAAAGCGACATAAAGATTGCCATGTCGGCCTGACGTGGATTGGTCCCACTAGTTATAGCATGTCAACCTACAACATGGGGTCATGCTCATTCTTCAAAAAATGATCATCATAATAAAAATTCTCATAAGTCATAAACACATATATATACGACGGAATTCCCATCAAATCCTTTACTCGATATACATATATAATCAATGTAGAAGTTTCTGAACGGCATCTACTTTAATTACCATGTTGATAATCTAATGTTTATTAAGAATTAAGAAAAAATGGTAAACAAATAGTACGTACAGTCTTCACCCAAAAAAAGTATGTACAGTGGTAACTGTATGTCACAGTCAAAGCTGAGTCAGAATCTCGTGGCATGTTAGTTCGTGGTTTTACCTTACTTGTTGTCGTCGTCATGATATCATGATATATATTATAATGTTGCTGAAGGATCTTCTTTATTAATTTGCAATCATAAGTTCATATGTTATTGCAATCATAATTAAGTGTTGGGTTAAGTTTTCGCATCAGTAAATTATCTGACGAAGTTTAAGAAATTCTGCTGTGTGTGTGTCAGCGAAAAGAAAAAACATTTATTATTTAAGAAATTCTGATAAAATATGTATAAAATAAGTTATGCAGTTAATCTAAAACTAGTTTAATAATTTAGTAATTCAGGATGCATAAATACAGAGAATCTCTATGCATGACATATGAAATAGCATGAACCTGCTCATATTAAAAGCATTATCGGCATTTTTGCGTTTATAAAAATTCTTTTTTATAGAAACAGTGAAACACACACGTAAACGTGATCATACGTCGGTCCATCTAATTAACTTACTCACTCACATAACCTTAAAACATGATTTTATTAATTACGTGGGGTTTTGTCAGACGTATATTTTGCATGATTAATTAAGTTATATATATACAATCATAAATTAAAGAAATTTACACCAATAGTCGGTGTTTGATCTATACTACTCCCAAATTGAAATATATATTATTTTATTTTAGGGAAATAGTAAGGCATGGCTATTAGCTTAATCTGCTCCCTCTTAACTTTGGATGAGAGCGAAAGGAGCCCACAATTCTATTCACGAAGGGACCGATGACATTTCATCGGCTCATATCTCATTATAGTTTATAATCTCTTAATCATTTTCTGAGTCATGTAATGCTGGAAGATTCTAGACTATCTCGAACGAGTGTTTTTGCAATAGACAAATATGAGAACATTAAACAGAAACAATGAAATATGTTTATATATCTAAAAATTATTATTCTATATATCTTCAGACAGTGTTATATGCTTTAATACAAGAAAACATGATCTTTGTGTGTAAATTGTTGGTGAAAGTTTTAGACCTTGTTCTGAACATTACCTTTTTAATTTTCTCAATAGAAAATATTTAGACCTTATTCTGAAAATATTTGTTTTCAATATTTATGGACTTCTCCTCCTATTGAATATTTTTCTTTGAAAAAATCAGGATCAAATAAATTTTCATGATTTGCAATTTCGAGTAGTATATGACTATTGGATCTTTTTTGTGTGGTTGCTGTATCATCAGCATTCATCACATTCACTGGAAGATTGTATAACATATTGTATAATTTAATAACCACGTCAATCTATTTAGTATGTATATAAATGTATCTATTGGAGAATGCTAATAGTTATTTGGCCCTTGGCAATTCTGGCCATTTGATGATCATGTCTGATGAAGACAGTTTTAAATGTAGCACAATTCTCCTGACACAATACCACTACTATATTAAAACATTTAGCAATTTGATCTAATGTTATTAGCTAGATTCAACCTCATAACTTCTTTCACACCTAACATCCATAAATAACATCCCCATCGTCTCTTCTTTTTGGCCTTATTAAACCAGTGAGCCAAATATTGTTCCCAATTAATACAATCATATACTCGTATATTTTTAAACACATACGTTTTTCTTTGACTTATATGTAATCTTTGGATGCAAGTTGTATGTGTTGATTTCTCTATCTTAGCAAAAAGAAATAAAAAGTTGAATATGTTTTATTGTGTTAACCATTATAATGTTACCCTTTATGGTAAGCGAAGAGCTATTATGACACTGAAACGTAGGAACTTCTGGAAACACTAAAGATGATTCTACATACAAAATTAATTATAGTTGAATTCTAAATGTCAGTTTTTTTCTTGAACAGGGTTTCAAAACCTGAAAGATTAACCAAATATTCTGTCTTTTCACAAATTCTTACAGCCTTCGTTTCCGAACATTCCAAAGGCTTGGGATCTTATCAACCGAAATAAAATACAGTTTTGGCAATGACAATTGTGTCTAATGTGTTGTCGGTTGCGGTATCAATATTGGATATATATGACTTCCATCCTTAGAAATTTATACTTGGAAATAAAATACTAGTAGATAATATCATTGTATCACTACATACATAACGATTTAGAACGAGTCCTGGAGACGGTAGTAGTTGTAATGATCTTTCACAATAGACTTTCATGAACGTTTCCTCTTTATTTATGTGGAAAGTGGTGGACCGTTCACTTTCATCATAACTGTGAAAGATGCTTTTTCTTAAAGAAAAAGTTTGAAGTAGCAAAGATACTGATTTTCATTATGATCACTTGACCATTACATACATTAGCACACACTAGGTTATTAAACAGAGGATCTTATCTTATAATAGAAGGAAACTGTATTTATACATATAGTCGATAGAGTAAACCAACCAACGTATAAAACCCAACCCACTTCTCCCAAAAACCGGTTATACCCGGCCAGTTTCACCGGTTAAGATACAATTTTACCATATCTACCTTATAATAGTTATTTACAATTCCCCCCCCCCCTCTCATTTCACTCACATAACAGAACACCCTTCTGGATTCTCATCACTAAACATCTGCGGAGCACGCATATGAGCATAAGGATCTGCATACCCTTGGTGGTTCATATACTGTTGTGGTGGTGGTGGTGGTGCTTCTTGTCCATAACCTTGGCCGTATCCTTGATTTGTATACGATTCATGTACATATCCTTGGTTCACATACGGTTCTTGTACATAGGATTGAGATGATTGACCTTGCATCATGTAGTGTTGACCGTACATTTGTCCTGGTGGATAGTAATACATAGGCTGAGGTGGATAACCATAACCGCTATACTCTGACTTCTTCACATCCATAGTAGCACCACCATCTCCTCCTCCGACCGGGGCAACTTCTTTCTTCTTTTCACCACCAGTGTCCTTCTTTTCTCCGACATCTTTGATCTCTTTCTTTTCACCACCACCACCATCCTTCTTTTCTTCAACGTTTTTGCTCTCTTTCTTTTCACCAGCATCTTTATCCTTCTTCTCGCCACCAGCTGGAACTGGAGCCGCTGCCACGGTGGCTCCCTCCTCTTTTTTCGGTGGAACAACTTCGACGGTACGTTTAAGTTTCTCGTTGAGATAAGGAGTGAGTTGTTTCACGTCAATGATCCCTTTCACTATCACCAAGTCCTTGGTGCTATCAATGGCTACTGAATTAACTCCTGTAAATTAACATTCAAACATTAATTAACTAATTTTTAATTAATAAAATAATTAAGGCCATAGATTAGGCTAAGCACTTCCTAGCTAACCATTTGATTTTTTCCCTCTAAAATATTAAATAGAAAAGTAGTTCAACCTTATTTAAGTATATTTAAGCTTTTGTTGCTTCCACACCAACCATATCAATTAATATATTGAGACTAAGAACGCTTCAAAAATTGATTTGATTAGGCTCGTAAAACGCACCTTTAATTTTGTTGACTATTTTTTTGATCTTGTGTTCGCAACCTTCGCAATGTAATTTCGTCTTCAGAACCACCGTACTCTGCATCACAACAAATAAAATTACATCAGAAACAATGATTTTAATCTTTGGTAAATTTAAATTATAGTTGGCAGAATTGTTCTATGAATATATTGTAAAATTACATCAGAAACAATGATTAATCTTTGGTAAAATTTAAATAATAATTGGCAGAATAATTATATATATGGTAGATAAGAACGAGTGTAAATTATACCGTAAAGTTTTGAAGTGCATACACGTTACAAACCACATGCAAATGGCCACTGACGTATGAAACATTAAAAAGTATTTTATCTGACATTTAAATATAATATTACCTCTTTTGGTGGAGCAGGAGCAGGAGGTGGAGGAGCTGTCTTCTCTCCTTCCTCTTTCTTCTTCTTCTCATCTTTTCCCTCGCCGGCGGGTTTCTTCTCAGCCGCAGGTTTCTCATCCTCCGGTTTCTTTTCACCGTCTCCTGAAGGAGGAGGAGGAGTCTCTTTCTTGGGAGACACGATTTCGACTTTTCTCTTGATTCTCTCGGCGACTTTATCCCGAACTGCCGCTGCGTCCACGTTTCCGACCACCGTCATTTTGTTGTCTTTATAATCAATCTGCACATCTTCCACACCTGAGTTTTATATAAACAAAGAATCAGAACTCGTGTTAGGGTTTTGTAAGAATTGAAATTAGTTAAATGATCATTATAAATTAATAATAACCTTTGTAATGTTTCAAGAGCCGTTTGATTTTCTTGCCACAACCTTCGCAATGCATATCAAGCTTCATGACTACGACGTTGACTGGCTTCTTCTCTCCTTCAGGTTTCGTCTGCGCCGTTTCTTCCTTTTTCTGCAAAATTCATAAATCGAAACTAAACGTTAAGCAAACAGAGCCATAGAGATAGAGGAAAAGAAAGGAGAGTAACTGATCACTGACCTCACCCATCGTAGTAATGTTTTGATACTCTGGAATAAATATTTCCTAGAGAATATTTTGTTTTGAAGAGAAATAAGCAAGAGGAGGAGGAAGAATGTATATATAGACCCCGTGTAGTGTCGATGATGATGATATAAAACCTTTTAATTATTATGATGATGATGATGTGGTAATGTATACATACAAAACATACACAAAAAGGTCAGATAAGTAGGCGAGAGATTGTTTGTTTTCATGCCGTCTAGCTGGGGACTCGTCATTTAAATGGGCCTTTTTCGATGAGGACAAAACGACTACGTATTAGATGACCGCGTTTTAAAACATTTTTTTTTACCCGACTTGATGTAAAATCACGAAGCTATCCTCGGCCCATTTAGTTTGACTTAAACGGGTCATAAGTCAAATATCCTGGGCTTGGGCTTTTAATTTTACAAAATGATTACAAAAACAAAAGAAAGTAAAAGATTAATACAAATAATTATCAGATTTAAGTATTATTATCCATATTCCATAGTTACCTAAGATAAAAATCATTGTGGAATGAAAATAATATTCTGTGATCATCGCACAATCACTAACGATTCCTCCTCCGCCCAAATCCAAAAACCAAGTCGGATGACAACTACTCAATCGGTGTCCTCCAGCGGCAGTATGGAATCGCCGTCGAGCCGGACCGAGCAAGCCACCACCGTGGCTACTACATCTGTTAGCGACAGTGCCTATATACAACTCAACAATTTGGATATTCAAGCTGAAGACGATCCTGCTTCTCAGTTAGCTTCGGGGTATGTCAAAATTGTTGTTACTTTCACTTATGTTCTGCGATTTTAGGGTTACATGATGTGTGTGGATCATTCTCTGTTACAAGCTTTAATCTTTTTTTTCTTATTTCCTGATATGTAGAGACATGTTTGAATGCTTATCCGTGTCTTAAAAGTTGTATCTTTGGTTTGGTTTGTTTAACTGATCATTAATGTGTAAGCAGTGGTAAGAAGAAGAAGAGGGGAAAGCGTGCGTCTGGTCCTGACAAAAATGGAAGAGGGTTACGTCAATTTAGCTTGAAAGGTCTCAAATTGGGTTTTACTTTATAGCTTAGCCTCTTTATTTTTGATTAATACATTTTAACTCTTTTTCTCAGTTTGTGAAAAGGTGGAAAGCAAAGGAAGGACTACTTACAACGAGGTACTACTCCTAGTTTTCCTAAAAAAACAGGAAGCTCTTACAAGAACATCCCTTCACTTGTGTTCCCACGTTATCTCATGGGAGTGATTAGATGATGTAGCTTTGTATTACGGTCTCTGACAGGTGTTAAACTACTTTCAGGTTGCGGACGAGCTTGTTGCTGAGTTTGCACTCCCAAATAACGATGATACATCCCCTGATCAGGTATGGATAACTTACTGTAAATCTTACTAAAATATGCAGTTCTTTCTTGTAACTATTAATGATTATTTGCATTCCTTTTAAAACAGCAACAGTATGATGAGAAGAACATAAGACGAAGAGTATATGATGCTTTAAACGTCCTCATGGCTATGGATATTATATCCAAGTATAAAAAAGAGATTCTGTGGAGAGGTCTTCCTCGGACTAGCTTGAGCGACATTCAAGAATTAAAGGTTTTCATACCCCCCAGCTTTCTTGTTCCAAACCTCGTTTAGAATATTTTTTTAACTGAAATTTGAGTTTTTATAATCTTTGCAGGCTGAACGAATCTCACTTAGGAGCAGGATTGAAAAGAAAACTGCATATTCCCAAGAACTGGACGAACAAGTAATGAACACTATTGCTTGATCTTCTGTCTCCCTCTCAATATAACAAGATTCTTACATGGTTCCTCTTCTTTCTTATGCGTGTTTGAAAAGTATGTAGGCTATCAGAATCTGATACGGAGAAATGAACACTTGTATAGCTCTGGAAATGCTCCTAGTGGGGGTGTTACTCTTCCTTTTATCCTCGTCCAGGTAAGCTTATTTACCGATCCACAACCAATATCATGTTCTTGGTTCGGTCATTGTCTGATTGTTGTTGTTCTGCACCAGACTCGTCCTCATGCAACCGTAGAACTGGAAATATCAGAAGACATGCAGCTCGTGCATTTCGATTTCAACAGGTTAAAGAACTAATTACATGATTTTTTTAATCTTCTCTTCTCAGCCAAATGTTGTTCATAAAACTCGATTTACATGACATCTCATGTCTTCTCTTTGCAGCACTCCATTCGAGCTCCACGACGACAATTTTGTTCTTAAGACGATGAAATTTTGCCATCAGCCACCATCGAGCAACGGTCACAATAACAGCCATGAAGCTTCTCACAATCTCGTTTCGGAAGACAATAAAGAAGGCCTCAGCACCGAGCCTGCGGCTCCTCAGGCAGTGGATATGTACCAGTCTCATCCTCAACCACCACAGCATCAACTGCATGCTCAGCCACTAATCATTCCAATGCCTGTGACTAACAACGATGTTGCTTCCGCCGCTGCTCCTGTGACATCACAGCCTCTCTTGGGTACCATAAAGTCAAGTGTAAAGCCGGAAAACTAAAACATAGCGGAGTTTAAAAGTCAATATATAATTCTGTAGACAGATGGTGTTCTTGCGTTTACTGTTTTTAGAGTTTAATTCAATCAAGAGCCTCGCAGATGATAGATACCAGGGAAAGGAGCAGAACATGTTATTGACTTCTCCGATGATCTCATGTGGTGTTTTGCTCTGTTCTCAGGGCTTAGGGGTAGACTATGTATAAAATTACAGTTTCAGGTAATTTGATTAGATAATAATATAGTTTTGCCTGGTAAATTCAAACAAAGTCAGGGTCAAATTTCTGAATCAAGTCTCTAGAATGCAAACATAACAATCATCAATCTCAAACCGTTCATGAATACAAAACCATCAACAAGAGCAATTTAAAGTGTTAAACTCTGATCCTATTTCTCCCCGGTTACTTCTTCTCAGCCTCTGTGACCAGTACCTAGAAGCCATTCAAGTGGCCACTGAAGCTGCCTCTCGAGCTCGACCAGTAACCAAACCTGTATCTATTTCATGTCTACGAATACACCTTCCTTGAATTTCTTGCAGAGAGCCTGTACGGCTGAGTCAATCCGTGCATTGTCCTGTAGAACAAATAATACAAGGAAACTTAATGAGTCTTGGAAGGAAATAAATGAAAGCAGATCTTGTGTGAGTCTACCTTTCCCTTCAAGCAGATGATGATAGGACCTTGTCTGGATTTCCGGTAACACCCTGTGAAGAAGAGGGCAGTTAAGGCTGAGACTTTAGATGCTCTGAATGTTAAATTATATATTTTAGACAGGTACCAAGATATATGTCTGGGAACTCAAGACCAAGTTTCGAAAGAGGTTCTGCAACTTCAACCTGCATTCCAGTAAAAAAAACAGCAAATCCAAACTCATTCTACAAAAGAAGTAGCAAAGTCATGGCAAAAAAAGTTGAATTTAAGGAAACACATACATCTGTCAAAGATGTCATCAAGCGCTTTGACTCCATGAGTGATGTACTTCCACCCAATTTAGTTAGCTCGGTTAGACATTCCCACTCCTTCTCGAGCTCCTCAGTGTTTGTAGCAGCAAGAACAATCACATTGCGGCACTTGATCTACAGAAATTAACCAGTGATCAGTTATTGAATGGGTATGAAAGGAGGATACTGAAAATTTTGAAACATCTGAATAGAGTTCTGAGAGAACCTACCAATGGCACCGAAAGCTTTTCATGATGCAGTAGTTCAGTAATTCCTTCCGGTAACTGAGCCATCTGAAAAGATAAAAGCAATCAACTTGGTGAGAGACCATATACGCAACAACAATGTATGGATAAACCATAGCAAAGCGACTCTGATGATATAAACTTTTAGCTGAAGATAGATAAATTCATTAAAAAGGTTATTCTCAAGATTGAACTCACTTCATTCCTGTCACCTGTGCACTGCTCGCTGATAAGATGCCTCAGGTATTCCTCAAACTCTTCATCAGGTGCCTGAATAAACGACTTTGTAAGATATTTACCTTACAACTGAGTGGGAATTATTTTCACTTATTGACACTCGGATACATTGAGATGTTATAGCATTTGTCAAACTATCGTAACCATGATGAGTCTTTGTTAAAATGAAAGAGACACGTACCAGACGAACCCCAAATGCCTTAGCAACACCAGCCAAAGTAACATCTGAATGCAAAGGACCAACTCCTCCATAAATAAATACCTTCAAAAGCATCAAGCACATGAAATCTGTCAGTTATATCTTACGACGATCAAACCTCTCTCTTTCATTTTATGATCATCTGTTCAACGGACCTACCATATCACAGATAGACCTTTGGCGGTCAACTTCCTCGGATACAGAATCTATCTGATTAAAGAAACATAGTGAATCGTTAACAGAGATAAGAATCAATTTACTTTGATGCAGCAAAGACAATGAGTAAATCTCACTCACATCATTACGAATTACAGAGGTTTGTTGCACCGACCAACCAACAGAAGTCAGCTTTTTACAAAGATACAGTCCTAACCGATCTTCAACAGTGCCAGACCTGAGCTATGGAACATATAAATGGGTTGGAAGAAATTTCATTGCACCTAGTAGAATAAGCAAGAACCTTTTAAGAAGCAAATGACTTACAGAATCTCATCGCCAACAGCAATAACTGAGGCCAAAAGCACCTCGTGTTTTTGTGAATCACCATCTATGTCATTCTTAACTGAAGCATTTTTCTTCACTCTGCCTGCCCTCTCTAACCTCCCATCAGAAAGCAAATAAGCAGGTTTGAATTTCTCCTTACTGCTGGTGTCGTTAACAGACAATAACGCGTTGGGAACAGTATCATGAATACTCCCTATTGATGTATATCTGTATAGTCAGAAATGAGTCACAATATAAAACGCATTGAGCAAGAACGAAAAATTTTAAAAGTGAAACTGTGGGGCAAAATTTTACCCCTGGTCATAAAGACTGCAATACTTGACCTTGCAAGCTAGGAGAAACGCCCAAACATCTCTGCACAGGAAGCATTAAAAACTATAATTGCTATTGTTTCCCATTTTACAAAACCTTTTTATGGGTTAGACTGTCATATTTTGGCTGTACCAGTCACAGTGACCCATGAGTGCAAGTTGATACATCAATAAACTTTATTCTTATAAAAATATTATCAGGAAAACTGTACTCATGGAGATATGTTGAGATGTATTCTTAAAAGGTTCTTGCTTATTCTACTAGGTGCAATAAGAAGACATGATTATGGAGAAAAAGGATACCTATAGGACCAATCCAAAATAGGATTCACCCTCATAAAGGGCGGCCATCCAGGGGAACTAGGAGAGAATTGCTCTTGACCAACCTGAAATATAACAATGGGAAGCAATCAATCACAATGATCCAAACTTTTCACAAGTCCTACAATTTTTTTTGCTTATGATACTTGAGGTTTTGAAGGTGAAGCTCACCGCAGTAGGATCACCAATTCGGACGCCAAGAAAAATAGCTCTGATAGGGTTAGCTTTTAACAATGCCTCCAACCCGGATTTGAAATCTTGACGAATGATATCAAGTTGGATACCGTAACTGCCCAATATAGAATGAGATGATAAGCCAATCAACAGAAGAGATAATATCATTTGGGAGCAGAACTTTTTCTTACGTCTGAGCTGCATCATAAGTGAAAGCATTGATTTCAGTGAACGCAGAAGGGCTCTCGAAGTATATGGTCCGGACTGGAAAACTTGATAATCCTCCATTAGAAGAAGACATCTCTTTCTTATGTAAAAAATAACCGGCTCTTAGAAGGTGCAGTAACACCTAAAAAATCATAACGATAGATAGAGTCACTCACTACTATTACTGAAGATGGAAAAGATCAAAACAGGAGAGGTTTTTTGGAAGGAAACAGATTTAACTTACAGTCGAATCTTTTCCTCCATTGAAACTAAAGGCAACCTCTTCAATACTGCACAAGTCAAAAGTTTCAAGAATCAGTAAATTAGATTGTTTTAAGTGATCTTGAGAGCTATCACCAAGTTCTTAGAATAAAACACACACATGTTAGACATGATCTTGAGTAACCTGATATGTTGTAAATCGAACTTGTAGACTAAAGGAAATGTCAAAACATGTTTAGTACCATACATACACATTATGATTGATCCTAGACTTGTATGAAGCAAACATAAACCAAACAAACAATAAGAAGAAGAGAAGAGAAGAGAAGAGGAGAAGTTACGAGTAGAGAGAAAGAGCTCTTGTGATGATGAAGATGGCGTTGTTGTATTTGGTCTTCAACCTCTTATCCTCGCTTTCTCCGATCGCTTTGTCGATCTCCATCTCTATCTCTCCTGTCAAAAATGCTCTCAAGGATCAAAAAGTCTTATGGTCAAATGCAAATTCGAATCAGAAGAGATTCAGGAGCTTATGGGTAAGCTGAAAGTTATCACCTTTTTATTCAGACGTCTCGAGAATCGCGTCGGAAGTATATTATCAGATTTGCTGGAAATGGAAGATAACAGAAAGGAGGAGACTTTTTTCTTGTACTAATAAAAATTGCAACTTCATGATGGAATTATTTTTATTTTTATTTATTCCATCCTTTGTTATATTCCAAAGTTTCCAATTGTTTATTGCCACACCCTATCTATCTTAAACCCACCAAAAATCTCTTAATGTGAACATAAAAAAGACAAAATTTACTAATAAAAACAAAACAGAGAAAGACAAAGAGGGTGTTATTGAATTGGGGAAATTGAGGAAAAAGAAAAGAAATTTACTGCAAAATTGTTTTTTTTTTCAAAATTTTCTTCTTTACAAAAAAAAAAGAAAAAATTGAGGAAAATAATTTAATTTTTTACTGCAGAGGATAGTTTAGTTAAACGGTAATTTAGCTTCTATCATATACTACAATCATAGTCTAACTGACACTGTAAAAAGATTTTTAAGACTAATAAGTTTCGTTTTCATACGAAGAATAGTTATGAAAAATAGTTACTGTCGATGATTTTGTTTTTCACATAGCAGATTGAACCCGCTAAACGAGATAGAGGGTTCAAATCCAAACTAAAACAGAACCAGCTGAACTACATAGAGGGTCTCCAATCGAAATAATTTTTTAAAAAAAGTTGATGCGGTGAGCGTGATCGAACACGCGACCTTCAGATCTTCAGTCTGACGCTCTCCCAACTGAGCTATCCCCGCTTGCTGATAATGACTGTATAACGTTTTTATACAACCTAATATTAATCGTAGTAACTTAATGGTGTTCGTAGAAGTAAGGAAAGAGTTGTAAAAATGGTGAGAAGCTTTTGTTCCTTTTTCGCTAGAAAGAAGAAGATGGCGAGAAGCATCTCCTACATCACCTCTACTCAGCTCCTTCCTCTTCATCGTCGTCCCAACATCGCCATCATCGATGTCAGGTTTGACTTTCAATTACACAACATACACGGTTTTTTATTTATTTATCTGTTTGAGTCACTAAAAATCTAATCTTTTATCAATTTTAGGTCTAATCAAATCCCATTGCTTTTAGGTCAAATCAATTCTAGGACTTTTAATTCATGCTTGATAAGTATTAAATCTCAATGTTCTCCAAATGTAAAGTTTTGTTTGAATCTCATGAGCTTGAAAGAACAAAACTTTTTGTGGTTAGGTGGCTGAGAAGTTAATAAAGGATCAGACTTTTTATAGTTATGTCTTTAAAAATCTTAACTTTTTTTATTTATCAAGATGTGCATTGTTTTTGTTTTTCAGGGATGAAGAGAGGAACTATGATGGGCATATAGCTGGTTCTCTACACTATGCTAGTGGTTCCTTTGAAGACAGGATCTCTCATCTTGTTCAAAATGTCAAGGATAAAGACACACTTGTCTTCCACTGTGCTTTGAGCCAGGTCTGTCTCTCTTACTTTCACACTTTTGAGGTTACATTAAGGAACACTCAACCATGATTGAATTGTGGTTCTTGTTATTAGTACATAAGTGGATGAAGAATTGAAGATCAACTCTTTCTTGGTGAAAATTGTTTGAGTTTTTAGTTATAAGTGGCTTCATGAGTCATAGGTTATAAGTGGAGGTTCTTTTAGATGGATCTCAAAATTGCAAATATCACATGATTTAGCTATATGGTTGCTTAATGTATGTCATCGTGTAGTGAAATAACATAGCGTCTGAAACCAAAATTCATTGCAGGTTCGTGGCCCAACATGTGCAAGAAGACTCGTGAATTATCTCGACGAGAAGAAACAAGAGAGTGGAATAAAAAACATAATGATATTGGAACGTGGCTTCAATGGCTGGGAAGCTGCTGGTAAACCGGTTTGCCGCTGCGCAGACGTTCCTTGCAAAGGCGACTGCACCTAAGTCTTACTGAACCATTGGAATCTAATTGAGTCTCCACATTGTCATGTGTATCAGAGATGATGATTACTACTACTATTCATAAATAATCTCTCTATTGACAATCACAGTATTTAAGGGCTATTTCGATATGTATTTGGGTGTCGTCAAAGCCACGTTTATTGTCTTCATATAACTCTCTCCTCAACTCTTACAATGGCAGCAGCTCTATTACTGATTTACAAAGACTTGTTGAAGAATTTGGAAAACTCTAATGATCTAATCTATCAATTTTTTTTAAAAAGAAAATGTGATTAGTGGTATGTGATTATGTGTACTATATGTTCTGCTTTTATGTTAACAAGCAACATACGATTCGCATGGTAACAAGGGATCAAACATAATAACAAGTATATAGTAATCAACAGAAAGACAAGCATAACATGATGTTATATTTTATAAACTCTGAAGTAATTATGGGCCATGGATTGTATCATTACTATTCCATGACTCTCTTGGAATGCTGTGGTGGTTATTCACATCAGCCTCAACGTCTTCTCCTGCTATCTTCTCCGTCATCATCAGGGTTCTTTGTGCTCCAGCTACATGCAGCTCCTCTGGCCACCTATTAGTCGTAGCCAAGACCGTTACCACAAGCAGTAAGAGCGATAAAGCTTTAGTTATCTTCATGGCTTTATACTTTGATTTGGAATAGTCCAACACTTGATGATTCGGGCACACTATAAATAGAAGAACTTACTGATTTGGGCATTATATTTAAACAGTGTTACCTTTCATCACACGAAATATTTAACTAAAAATGGTAGTGCGCACTAATAGTTATGGTTTTTTATCTATTAGTGTCACTGTGTCAGGTCATTCAGATGGTGCTGAATAGATTGGTTTAGAATAATTTTATTTACCAATCACGATGCACCACCTTCACCATCAAGATGGATGTCACTACGCAAAATAGTTAGTTACATGATTGATGACCTTAAGATTGGAGCTTATCAAGATATTTTTGATGATTTACCAATGGGAAATATCGTTTTATAATTTTGTCAGTATTTAATTAAATAGCACATAGAGTTATTGTCTTAAGAGGGTGATGAGGTGTATAGAACATGATAACGTCTTGTTTGCATGATTGATTTATGTTTCTATCAGTCACATCTAAGTTGAAATATTAACAAAAACGAGAGTGGAGCATACGAAATTTACGTATATAAGGTAATCATGTTTTTCTGGGTAAATCATATATATTTGTATGAAAACAGTTTCTTACAAAAGAAAATTGGGTCACAAATAATATTTAAAGTTTGTTGTGACTTGTGAGCTATCTTCACTCGCAATCCAATTCTGTTTTGATTAGATGAATGCTGTCTTCCACACTAGCCCCTAGATGATCCTTGCAACCACTGCATAACGGTTTGTGAAAAGTCTTGTTAGTTATTTAGTTAAATAAAAGGGTTTTGTTAAGATGATGATGAACGATCGATGATTAAAATAAAGTATATGCTTTGCTTAGGGTGAGTAGAGAAGTTAGCTAGTTGGGAAGTAATGGCTTCTTTTGGCGGCCAAGCAATTCTGTCTCTCTCTCTCTCATTCACACATACAATCCTCAACTCCAAGACTTAAATCAATTCCTCATGTATTCACTTATCATCTATTGATATACTATATGATTATAAAATTGTGATTCTAGCTTCGCAATACACTCAAAAGATATTCGTCTTAGTAATCCGTTATATATTATTAACACGTTATCAAGAAATAATCATTGAGCCAAGGACGACTAACTATTTAAAGTTGGATGAGTAAAAGTTGGATATAAATCCAGCTCTAATTAGAAACTGATTATATTTTCTGACTTTTGTGGAATCTTTATCAAATTATGAACACCTTTGCCAAATTTCACATAATGTTCTGCCACCTAGTTGTTGTTATACTACAGAATCATATAACAGTATGATAAACTATATCTTATATATTAAAACAGAAGTCATAACTTGATTTCATGTGTGATATTTTTTAAAAATGGACTATTACTAGAAAGTTATGTTACATTAACTCTCTAATAATCTTATCATTATTATAGCTTATAATACGCTTAACAATTTGATTTTGGTAAATTACCCCATGCCTTCCAACTTAGTCACACAAAATATGTCAATAGATATAAGTTTAGGAATCTTCTATTATTTATAAGGAAATATGTCAATAATAGTTAAATGCATTCACAATATATTAACAAAAATCACAGATTAATAATATGGAATATACCTTAACAAAATTTACACGCTATATATATTAGATAAATTTATTTCGATGTAAATTTTTAAAATTATATTGTTTTCAATTTTTTAAGAAAGTTATTTATAATATTAATTTATGAAGCTATAAGTTTAGTTTTTAGCAAAAACTTCTTCGAAGTTTATATTATCTTTGCAAATTAAAATAGACTAATATTTAATCAAGCTCTATTTATATTACTTTATCTAAAAAAGAAATACTAATCTAAAAAACAATAAAATATTGAAGAAGAAACAAACACATGTTTGAAAAACATGTATAATATAGAAAATTTGAAACAATCTATTTGATTAAAACACTCATTATATAATATTATTATGTTTGAAAAACATTTACTATACATATTGTAAATATGTGATTACTATAATATATATCAATTTACAAGTGAAAAAAAATAGTTTATATAACTAACTATAAACGAAAAAAACATCCGCGCGGTTGCGCGGGTCAAAATCTAGTTTTTATTTAAAATTAAGAAACTGAGATAAGAGAGGTTACTTCACCGAATACACATTATTAGCTAATCACAAGATTAATAATGGATTGATCAATTAATTGGGTAATCAAAATAAAAATCATTGTATCTTAGAAAGAGGCGCAAACATAGGAAGTTATATTATATATTAGATTGTTATAAAATTATTACTAAATTATAATATAACTGTGATCATGATTCATAGTTGTGTTGTGGTTCAACTGCACATGAACTATTCGACCCCAAAATGTGATTGCTTTTGTCTTTCCAACTGATTAACTTGATTAATTAATCAGCAAATTAAGTTCAGTGTACATAATCTACAATGATTAGTAGTATCATGAATTTAGTAAGTGGGATTATGTTGCAAATTTAAGTCATATATATATATATACATATTTATACTTAGAATTCATGAAATTCATGGAAAAACAAATAATTCTTTTCTTAAAAATTGCATGACATATTTGGGAAACGCGATTCAATTTTATTTCTCTCTAATTAGCCAAGAAAAAAAAATCTCGCTGGATATAATATTACATTACATTTTGCCAAGTGTCATAATTTGTTTTGAAATTTCTGCACCCAAATTATTGAATGACACTCTTATCAGAAAATAAAGTCTACACAATTTATACATAGAAGTGATGTGACACTACTTATTGATTTCATTAATTTATTAAAATTTTCTACTAAGACAAGTGCTAATATGAATCCAAAATTGTGTTAATAGCTAATGGTATTGGTAGTATGGTACCAGGATATGGAATTTATAAGGATGAACTGGAGAAGTTTTTCACGAGTAATTAATATTGATTAGATCCATAACACAAGCAAAACAAAGTTAACCAAATAAAGAGAAAACTAATATAAATAATCGAAGGAAAAAAAAAACAAGAGGAGAGAAACAAGTGGTTCCAGGCTTGCAAACCAAAACTTCCAGAAAGGAATCCTTCACCAAAAGTTATGTGGCCGTTGCTTCTTTTCTCATCCTTTGTCTAACCCTTCCTTACATATATACTATATTTACAATACAAGAGTGTTGTGCGTATAAACAAATACAATCACAAGTATATATATATATAGTAGATAGATACTCAAACATATAAACCAAACATTCTTTGATATACTTCTCTACATAAATACATATATCTCTCTGGTGATCTTGAAACATATAGCCAAAATAAAAATTCAACGGAGGATCATGACAAGTATTCATGAGGAGACGCGTCTAGTACTCCTCATCAAGGGCAAACGCACCAAACGTCAGCGATCTGCGTCTCCTCATATGAACGCAGACGCAGTGTCCGGCGTTTGCAACCAGGAACGATCACTGGAGGCAAGAGAAGGAGCTACGGACGAAGACCAAGACATGGCGAATTGTCTTATATTGTTGTCACAGGGGCATAAATCAAAGAGTAGTGGCGATCATTTCTCAACGCAGAAAATTGGCTTCTTGAGCAACAAGAAACCGGTGGCTTCTCTAGGGTTAGGTCTAAACGGTGTTTACCAGTGCAAAACGTGTGATAAAAGCTTCAACTCGTTTCAAGCGCTAGGAGGGCACAGGACTAGCCATAAGAAGCCTAAACTCGGAGCAATCGTTCTCAGATGCGACGAGAAGAAATCTGCGTCTGCGTTTGAAACAGTGAAAGCTGCGAGAGTTGTAGGAAGCTTTCTTTCTCTGCAAGTAACTAGCAGTGACGGTAGCAAGAAACAGGAGAAAACACATGAATGTTCGATCTGTAAGGCCGAGTTTTCTTCAGGACAAGCCTTAGGAGGACATATGAGGAGACATAGAGGTCTAGCAGTTAATGCAAACGCTAACTCAACAATTAAAGCAGAGATAGCATCAAATCATCATCAAGAAGGTGTAAGGACAAAGAACTTCCTGGAGTTAGATTTGAATCTTCCAGCACAAGAAGATGAACCGAAATTCATGTTTGCGTCCAAAGATCAGATTCTTCTCTTCACGGCTGCAGCATCCAATTCTTTGATTGATTGTCATCTCTAATTTCTTTTAATTACTTGTTTACCTTTTATATGTTAATCTCTAACTCTCTTCTTACTATTATCTAATTTAATATTGATTCTTGTAATTTGACATTGATTGAATTAACTTGAAATTATACATTTTAAAAGTAGTATTCATTGCTCCATAAACTATTTTGCTTGAATGTGATGATGTCATTTTTTATAAAGGAAATTCATAATTAGCACCAAAAGTATTATATGCAATACTTAACTTTGGGAGAATGATTAGAGATGCTGATGAGTTTGTTCCTTGGAGAGTGGAAGAAGCATGTGGCGATGACTTTCATGTAAAGTCACTTCGTTTGTTAGCCGCCACTAGCTCCTTTCGGTGCACTTCACTTCCTTTTGCGGTTTAGAGTGTTTCAACGTACAAGGAACTTCATCACCAACTGAAAAAACCTTCACATACTAAAAGTAAAATCAATCAAAAAGTGTTCTATAATATAACAAAACGTAGCGTAATATTAATTGACCGTATTGAGATAGACCTTATGTCCAATATTATTCAAATAGCATCTGTCAAAACTACAACATCTAGAAAAAAATGAGCTACACTGCGTTTAGTACATTCTGATATAATGATATACGTATATCGATCAGTTTGTTTTGGAGTAAAATTTATACAGTCGTTAATACATACATAGTTCACTAATCTTACTCATCTATCTATTTTCTTTTGATAAAATGACACTGTATATACTACTTCTCTTTTGGTAATATGAATATGATAATATGAATATGATACGTAGATAAAATACAGCGTAAAATAAACGAGTGAATATTCCTAACATTTGGATATATATGATTAAAAGATGTTTGAAAAAAGATTTTGATAATAACACTATGTTTAGTAATCTTTTTCAGAAAACGTCGGTGGAAATTTAATTAATATAGTGGCAGTACTTTTCACATCGTTAATTACAAACCATCTATCTATGTTTGTAATAAGACAAAACATCGAGGCCATTGAGTGTTGTTATTGACGATGATTTCAAAGATCAATCGTTACATATGAGTTTGACATAAAACTTAATTATATATCCTGAAAATAAAGTCTTATACGCCATTTATATACATCATTTACGCAATGAGGAGACACGTTCAGTGTTTGAATTCGTATAGATTATAAATAGTGGATAATTAAAAGGATTAAGACACTCTAATACACAAGTTTTATTATATACATGTGATTAAGAATACTTTATATATATGTGGTGGATAAATATGTATATTTTGACTTAGTCTGGAACCAATGCCACATGTAAACAGGAGGCTCTGGCATGATTAGATACTTCGCTGGATTGCGCTAGCGTACGACGTACATACAGCAAAGCAACCGTTTTCACCCACTTACTACTCGACAGCTCACCAGAAAACTCCACTAGTCTGCTTGTGTACAGTAGACCTGTCACACTCGATCACACCGAACAATTCATTATTTCTTTCGTTAACTGCTCCCTGAAGTTCCGAAATATCCTACAATGACCCCATATATTTGTACTCTGATCAACTTTTACCCTCATTAATCAACTTCTTTGCTACAATCAAGGGTGCTAATTGTGAATGAATTAAATTCCGGGTCTATAGCTGTAAATAAAATAAAATAATATCCACCAAAAAATATTTTATTTTTTTTCAGCAGCAATCAACTTCTTTAGCTGTTTTCCAGAAACTGTTTCAATCTTCTTTTGGAAAAGAGAAGAAGAAGAAGAAGCAGAGCTCTCTCGGTTTAGCTTTGTAAGAGAAGCAAAAGTGATAAAGGTGTGAGCTTTTAATCTGATCTACTGAGATGGCGGTTGCTCCGGCTAGAGCTCGTTCTGACTATGATTACCTCATCAAGCTCCTTCTCATCGGTGATAGCGGTAAGCTTCTTCTTCTTTACTTCTCTACTCTGTTTACTAGATAAAGGTAGCAACTTTGGAATACTCACAAGTACTTGATTGGTTTCTCAGACAACATCTCGTGCCTGTCTTTTTTTGTCGATTTTAATTAGGGTTTTATTATTTTGATCTGTTTAACTCAATCTAGTAGAAGAGTAAATATTGTGTAAGATTAAGAAAAGGAGAAGACTTTGACGAAGTAAGTTAGTTAATGTTTTGTTTTGGTTTTGAGTTTTTTTTTGCTATAGCTTTATGTGTTGTGTATGTGTTCAGGTGTGGGGAAGAGTTGCTTGTTACTGCGTTTCTCAGATGATACTTTCACTACAAGTTTCATTACTACCATTGGGTATGTCTTCCTGTTCTGTTGCTGTTTTCTTATGATTTATGTCTCTTCCTGCTCTGTTGCTGTCTTCTTTTGGTTGTCTTCTCTTGTCTAAGTTTGTGTCTTACTTCTTCTTACAGAATTGACTTCAAGATAAGAACCGTTGAGCTTGATGGTAAGCGTATCAAATTGCAGATTTGGGACACTGCTGGTCAAGAACGCTTCAGAACCATCACCACAGGTTAGAAAAAAAAACTGTTTTTTTTTTCATTTAAACTTGGAAGTGAACTTTGGCATCTGTAGATACCTCTGTAGCTAAAGCGTTTTGGTCCCTTTTTTTTCTTTCCATGCAGCTTATTACAGAGGAGCGATGGGTATACTACTTGTCTACGATGTAACCGATGAGTCATCCTTCAACAGTATGTCTTGTTACTATTGTTTCTTATCAAACCAACTTTGCAGTGTCATTTTTTCCAATGAAAATTGGATTGTGAGAGTTGTGGCAACTTAGCATATGATTGTTTATGACAGACATTAGGAACTGGATGAAGAACATAGAGCAGCATGCCTCAGATAACGTCAACAAAATACTGGTCGGTAACAAAGCTGACATGGATGAGAGCAAAAGGGTAAGTAGTAATCTTCACTTGCATACTCAAACTTTAAAGACCTTGTAGTAATATACTGGTGCATGACCTTTTTTCCTCAGGCTATCCCAACAGCAAAAGGCCAAGCTTTAGCTGATGAGTATGGAATCAAATTCTTTGAGACGGTGAGTAAAAACATAACATATGTATGCGCTCTTTATGTTCTTGATGAGTACTGATAGTGATTTCTAAATTGTTGCAGAGTGCAAAAACAAACCTCAATGTGGAATCGGTTTTCCTTTCTATCGCAAAAGACATTAAACAAAGATTGACAGAAACCGATACAAAGGCAGAGGTAAGAAACTGAACTCACTCTTTGATATTATCTTTAAATAGATAGTATAGCTGAGTAACAAAGACATTATGTAATGTTGCTTTACAGCCACAAGGCCTCAAGATCACTAAACAAGATGCTGCTTCATCGTCTTCTACTACAACTGAGAAATCAGCTTGCTGTAGTTACGTTTAATGATTCGCTCTTTAAGTCTCTAGCCATCTGATGTTTCATCTCTTACGTCTCAAATCAGAGATCGTTCTTGTTTGTGTAACATAGGACGAGTAGGAAATCTCATTGATGGTTTGTGATCCTTTTATTGTCTAATTTGTTATCTCTGTAATTCTGTACAATGATCTTCCTTATATGGAAGACTATGTTGGTCAAAAAAACATTGTTAAAGACTTTTGAATTTATGAAAATCAAACTGTTGTAGTGTGTATAAATCTATTAACAAAATCTATACAAAAGGACTGCTTGGACAAACATTCTATTTATCTAAATGCTTACAATTTTTTCTGTATAAAGAAAGTAAAAGAAAGATTGTAAGGGATGAGTGAAACTGATATAGATGTAAGCCTTCAAACAACTAACAAAGAAAAACACACACACAATAAATGTGAAATGTTTTGACAATGATGAATAAGAGAAGAATGGAACAGGTTCAAGATGTTCAATCAATATGCAAATATGATGAGTTGCATCAGAGACAATCTCAGTGGACAGGACCAGACACAGAGCTAAGAGAGTCACTAAGACTTGAGGTTGCTGAAGTAAAAAAAAAAGAAGAAGAGATTGTTGGGTGAGTTGTTTGAAGGAAATGAACCACCACGACGGTAAGAAGTACAACAAAAAAGACATCAAAACTAATCGAGTAAAGTGAATGTCTATCTAACTCCACTTTTTGTTGTTGGTGTTGTTGTATTTACCTTTTCATTAGTTAAGCAGATTTGTTGCCATTGTGTCAATAATATACTTATAAACAAACTAGTTTAACTCCAAAAATGAACGCAAAAGAACCCAAATCTTTTTTTTTTTCACAATAAGAAAACCGACCAGAACTTTGTTCTTGAACCGGACAAGATAATAGAGCTTGATCAAGATGTATATTAAACACATGTTTGGTAATCAATTTTGTTAAGTTTGGTAATGGCTGGCATATTCCTTTTAGAAGATCCAAATTCTCCCAGCATCTTTATATGAACTTCACCATTTCCACCATCTTCCACTTTTCCCCAAAATAATAAAAATTTCATTTCTTATAATATCCTTTTTACACCAATGATAATCTTACTTTATTCCCCTTTACACCAATAGTATATACATTTTCTCATATTCTTTTCGATATTTTTTGTTTTATACCCACTTTAATAACTTACATATAGATCCATAACTTTAATTAAACTCATATACAGTTCTACATACAGATACATAGGAATTATTCATAAACGGTGTTAATGTTGATCTATCATATAATAATATATACACTCAAATGTTATATTTGCATTCACCTAAGATAATATATTATCAACCGACATGTGATGCAGTAGTTACACCTGAGCTAATTAATTATTATATAAAAAGAGTATTCTAAAGAAAAAGTGAAGAGAACAATATGGCTTATGTAATGGGTGTTTTCAATCTCTCTTTTAATGTGTCTTCAAGACTAATACAACGGGGGAAGCCATTAGAACCCCTAAAAACATCCGTAAAGGTTGGAACTCTCTTTGGCACAGCACCAAACACACAATAATGGCCATCCCCTAAAGAAAGTGAAGATGAAGAATCCTCTCGTTCGATCAGAAGATCTCACCATAGAGGGTTTTGAAAGGTTCAGATTCTCTTTAGGGGATGGCTCAAAACACAAGGGTACTCACAAATTAAAGGTAACAAGAAATAAGAAGATATCTCTTGGAGATTAGTGATTATGAATTGTGTTTATGTGTGCGTGTTGTGTGGATGATCATCATTATTTATCATTATCATTTTTGGTGATGATTATGATGAGGATTGTGTATGAATGGAGCAATGAAGATTGCATGAAGGTTTATGAAGGTAAGCTTGATTTGTCTTTCGTTATCTCCCTTGTTAGGGCAACTTCGATCCTTTGGCAAGCTTCGGTTCCCCTCGGAATCAGCAGATTATTATTCTTACAGCACTATCTTTCTCTCTCTATTTTGCTTATGTATATGTGCCTTATTTTGTTTTTCCGATTTGGTTTAGTGTCTTTACTTTAGTTTGTGTTGAATGTGTGTATAGTCTTGTAATCCCGTGAGATGCACCATGCATTCATGTGTGTTCCTCATATGATTCATGTCTAATATTATGTGTGAAGAATAAAAGAATACTCGTTTTTTTATATGTATATCTAAAATCAAACTCCACTTTTACCTCAAAGACAGTTTCTTTAGCAATCTACATCACACTTAGCTATTAGTGCTCCAGCTCATCTTCAATTAAAGTCCAGTAAATTTAAAGCCATCTATGAAGAAACTCAAGAGAGCCCTAAATAAACCGTGTGTGGCAAACTAAGATTGAGATATATACTATATCATCTTACACTATTAAATCGGGTTGGATAGATTCAAATAAAATCTAAGGATATTTATCTTTGACAAAAGAAACAAGAAAAATAGATATGAAAAAAAAAACTAAAATAAATAAAACCAATTAATATTAACCTAAGGAGAAACATCTATCTCTGTCTTGGTGATCCAAGATGGTTGCTTCTTCAACTTGGCCTTCTCCTCTGACATGGTAAGCTTAAGTTTTTCGACCTCTTGTTCGAGTTCCCGAATCCGATCTTCAGAAGTCTTCTTCTCCAAGGACACTTTCTCAAGCTTTGAAGCCAACCATTCCACACTAAAACCAGCTTGTGTCACATCAGACAACTTCTTGGAAGCTTTGCTCAACTCATCTTCCGTGAGATCACTCAGAGGTTTGTGGTGAAGTATCTTGATGATGCTGAATAGAAGGTTCATGTATCTTGTCCTGAGCACATCGTCTTGCAATTTAACATTAGCTGAAGTCTCTGGGTATGCCTTAAAAATCCAGTTTGCTAACTTCACCTGCGATGAAGCAATGATGAATCCATGTGCAGTTACCTTTCTTTGTCTCTTTATTTGGTTCCCAATCACTTGAGAAATCGATTGGCATATTGTCAGGAAAAGTTTTACACTACTCGTTGCTTCAAGATAGCTATGTAACCACATATTCTCTTTGTTGTATATAAATGTTTACGCATATATATAGGTAGGAAAAAAAACTTAAATTAGTTTGCAAATTCTAGATCAAATAAGAAAAAGTTAGATTTCGGAATTAAATAAAACAAGATATTTCAACTAACCAAAAAAAAAAAAATCTTATCCCTAAACAAAACAAGAATCCTTAATCGAAATTGCAAATAAGAGACTGCAACAATCAATAAAGAAAAACTAAATAACTATAGCATCTTCAACTTGGCCTCTTCTTATTTCAACTTAGCTTTGAGATGGGAAACCATCTGCTCTTGTTCTTTTACAAGCATTCAGGTAAACATCATCAAGCTTTGCCCACAACCATTCCACCTTAAAACCTGCTCGTTTCAAATAAGACAATTTAGCTGAAATCTGGTGTAGTAGAGCATCAGATACATCGTCACACGACTTCTTGAAGGAAAGTATCTTGAAGGTAACAAGGAGAATGTGCATGTCTTTCGACCTACGTGCTAGGTCTTGTGACTGGACATGCACTGCAGTTTCTGGATAATGCTTAAAAATCCACTTGGCTATAGTCGCGAACGAAGAATCAACGATGAAGCCATCAATCAATTCTTTGTGACTTAGTTGACCCTCCAATTGGTTCATCATAAATGTAGATTTTTCTTCCTCCAACATTCTATTTCTCAATAGATATGCTTCAAACATTGTGAATCCTGAATTTTTTTTTTTTTTTAAACTATTCTTGCATCATCATGGCTTATAACCTTCTCTTTTATAGGGCAGCAAAAGAAATTGAAATTTAATATTTTACCTTTCTCTGTTGGATTCTGTTTTTCTTTATTTAATTTTTCCTTTTAAATTTTTCCTTTTTAATTAGGCTATAGGAATTTAAAAAAAAAATCCAATAGGCCAATATGTTGGCTAGTTATTAACAAAACATTATTATTCATCCAAGTATATGAAAAAGGACAACAACTGATAGGAACTAAAAAACAAACAAACAAGAATCCTTTATTTTTCTTTTTGTTCTTTTTTTTTATTGCACATCTGTGGATTTAGATTTGATTACTAATAACGAATTGAATGATAAGATTTACAAAAGTGGCTGTGAAGAGGAGTTCTGTTTCCTTCTCAGACGAGACATTAACATCCAATAGACAAATCCTGCGATGACAAAGCTGAAAAACAATGCGTTGTCGTAAACAACAAGGAACCCATTTGAGATCTTTGACAAAGCTCCGACCTTGTGTAGAAAACCAGGCACGACTGGGATGATTCCGGCGACCAAAGCCACCACAGCAGCCACGTTATATCCCTGAGAATAATAATATTCCCCGGAGGCACTCAAAGAGTACAAATCTCCAATGTTCAGTTTCATTTTCTTGATGAGGTAATAATCTGCAAGAACTATACCACCAATAGGACCAAGAAGCGCAGAGTAACCAATGAGCCATGTGTAGACAAAGCTCTCACTCGACTTGAGCAATCTCCAAGGCTGACACACGATTCCAAGAACCGCGGTCAACAACGCTCCTCTTCCGAATGTGAAAACCTTAGGGTTTAGATTCACCAGCGCGTTTGCTGGTGCGACCACGTTTGCAGCTATGTTTGTGGTGATTGTGGCGAGGGAGATTCCGAGGATAGCGAGTAGCGTTGTGGCCAGGCCTCCGATTTGACCTAGAAGCTGAATGGGATTAGAGATGACTCTTCCAAAGATGATACTTGTGGAGGAAGTAACAGCTAAGCCAACGAACGTGAACAAACCCATGAAAACCGGAAGTCCAACTTGACCAATGATTTGATCGGTTTGTGATTTCGCAAACCGGGAAAAGTCAGGGATGTTTAAAGCTAGAGTTGCCCAGAAACTTATGTTTGCGGTTAGAGATGGGAAGAAGAGAGTCCAGAACTGTGCAGAGGTTAGCTTAGATGACAAGGAAAGCATGTGGCCAAACCCACCAGCTTTGACATAAGACCAGACAAGGAGACAAGAAGTGAGAGCGATCAGAACAGGAGCTGCGTACTTCTCGAGCTTTCTGATTCCGTCCATTCCTCTCCAGACGATACAAAGCTGAGCCAACCAGAAGACAATAAAACAAGAGAATTCAAGCGGAGAAGTTCCGAGCCAAGGCAGTGTATGAGACAAAGCCGAGTTCTTAATATGAGATGGTAAGAGCAAGAAGATAGCTTCTCCTCCGATCCATGTCTCGATACCGTACCATCCGCAACCGACCAAAGCTCTAAGTAGAGTCGGGATGTGGGCTCCACGAATGCCAAAGGATGATCTAGCGAGGACGGGGAAGGATATTCCGTACATGGTGCCAGGCTGTGCGGTGAGAACCAGCGGCACGAGGAGTATTAGATTGGCAGCAACCACTGTGGCTATCCCTTGCCACCACGCCATGCCTAAGTCCACTAAGCTTCCAGCCAGGTAGTAAGTAGGCACACCGACAACGAGACCAATCCATAAACTCGACATATCCAACCAAGAAAACGTTCTTTGGCTTGGTATTGTCGGTTTCAAGTCGTCATTCGTCAGTGTCGGGTCGAATTGTGATTCGTCGTACCCCAAGTCATCAACTTCTGACCCTGTCATCGCTGAGAATCTTTGGCGGATGAGACCAGATCGGTTGTTACCGGACCAAGTCGAACTCAAGTTGTGTTCGCTCCATCCAGAGTGTTTGAGACTTCTATGTTGAGCATGAGAAGGAGCTGTGAATGAGACATGGTGATGGGTTTTAGCTCTTGTGTGGAATCTTAAAGAAGAAAGAGAATGATGATTAAGTTTGTGGGGATGAGGATGGAGATGGAGGCCAAGGCTAATGCAATTGGAGACCATTGAGCCTTCTCTCTCACACAAAAGATAGAGAGATGAAAAAGAAAAGAGAATTGTGAGATGGAGATTGTACCTTTGCTGTGCTAGTTATGTCCTCTTGGTAACGTGTGGTTGGAGATGAACCATGTGTTAGTGGTTGTCTTGTCACTCTCACATCTCTTTTTTCTTTTATTTTATACAATAAAAAATCTAATAAAGATTCTATTTCCTTCACTCCAGCTAAAAGATTCCTACTCAATTTGTTGACTTTCATTTGCCTAATCATTTAATCGAAAATCATTAAAAATTAAATAACATGATTTGATCTTTAAGAAATTCCTACACCTATAATTTTCTTTGTATATTTGTAATGGATACAACATACATGACCATAGTTTGACAACAACTCAAGCACTTATGTTTCTTATTCTTCTTAACCTAAAGAACCAAGAGCCATACTGACTCGTATACATATACTAACAACTCAAAAACAGAGAGCGTTCATAGAAGTCTGACCAACCTTTTGGTATCAAAAGATGTTATTCTTTTAAGCGATCAATCTCTTTCTCCCACTTCAACCCAAACATTTGACGGCCAAAAGGAACAATCAGATTATACCTAAAAACCTGCAAAGAAACAAGGGCGCACATGAGAAAAAATATCATTATAGATCACAACAAGATCCTGGTTTGTAGTTGAAGACTTGCCATGTTATTGATTTGCTTCAACTGCGTTTTAAGCAAATTTGACTGCTCTTCCCAACCAGATTGGTCATCCTCCAGTTTCATAGTCCATGCTTTCTTAAGTGAAACTCTCCATTCTTTTGCTTTGCTTCTTATGTCTTTGTTGAGTTCCACCCATTCGGGAGCAAACCCGTTCTTGTTAAGAATCCGATACAATGTATCCTCCGCTGGGTCTGCATGAGGATTTGTGAGGAGGTTCAAGGGTTTGCCTTTACCAGGTAAATTCTCAAACTGGCCTTCTTCCATTGAGTGCCATATCCTTTGCTCGACCACGTTGATTATGTCAGTCTCTGACCTGCAATGTCATCCCATGTTAGTATCCATTACAAATCAAAGCACTAACATGTTCCAGTAAGAAGAAGCTCATATGATAATAAAAGAACCACAAAGCAACCAAAAAAGTAACAAACTTAAGCTTTCTCTCACAAGAAAAATGTCATATCATCCATAACAAGCAAAGCCAATAAAGACTCAGCAACAACATAGCTAGGTGTTCCATTGACACTACAACTACTTATCAAATAAGAGGTTGATGACAGTCCTAAAGACTTGGCCTCTTTTAGATTTAAAAGCCTCTTTCACAGATTTTTCATCAGGCACAAAACCCTTTCCCTTCATTTCTCTCAACAACTCTCTAGCTTCTTCCTCTTTTCGCTCTCTTACAAAACCTTCAAACACAGCCATGTACGTAGCAGCATTGGGCCTCATCCCATTCCCCATCATTTCCAACAAGTACTTCTTCGCATCCATAAGCCTTTTCCCATCCGCTGCAAGCCCTTTGATCAAAACCGTATACGTATAAACATTTAGCAAAACTCCACAAGCCAACATACGCATGAAAACCTTCACAGACTCCTTAGCCTGGCCTGCCTTAGCATAAGCCCTCAACCACAGCATTATGTGCCACCACGTCTGGCATGTGGCGCTTCTCCTTCATCTGAGAGAAAAGCTCAAGCGCCTCATGTGTAAGGCCTTCTGTTTTCATCGTATGGAATATTTCTTGAAGATTCTTCGGATCAATGGAAGCTTTCTTGCTGAAAGGATCATAAGGAGGTGAGAGCTGCTCCCTCTTGCTAGAATCTATAGTTTCTTTATCTGATTCCTTATCAGAGAGTGAGAAATTGACTTTGGTGTTAGTCTCTGAGCTGAATCGCCTCGCGAAAACTCTAACCGCAAAGCTATGAGCTCTCTACTTAGTATTATAATCCTATCAATTCCAAATCTTAACCACTAGTGAAAGAGACGAATCGTTAGATAGCTGTATAGAGGATTAGTTTTCACCTTACGAAATCGCGCCGTCCGCGTAGCTCCGGCGGGAGTTTCCGGTCATGAACTGCGTCGATCACGGCGGAGAAACGGTCGTTAGTCTTCTTCTCCCGTCTCTTCGATCCCGCCGTAAGATCATCCGGAGATGACCACCAAGAGGACGAAGACGAATACAAGGCGAAAGCGGTATCTGACGTAGATATCCGATTTACGATGGAGATCAGCGACGGACGTGATGGCGATGACGTCGCGAGACGAACCGCCATGGCCTGACCTGAGCTCAGGGAAGATGCTGGAACTTGTGGTTAATGACTGATGTATCCCTAAGGAGTGATGAACAGCAGATTTTATGATACGCACCGTTTTGCATCAGCACAGTCTACGGTTTTCTACATCGCTTAGAAAACTACGCGCCGTCTGCATGCAAACATTTTTCTAGGGTTTATGTCTACTCTTAAACCAGACTAAGTTTTGTTTTTTGAATTAATTGGTATATTTTTTTTTGACCATTTCTCAATTTATGCATGTCATCCTTGAGCAGGGCTATGCTAATCTTCTCTGTTTCGTTCTAATTTTATTGGATGTCTCGAAGGGACAACCAAACTAAGTTATGTGATAAAAAATAGTCATGTTAAGTTCTTCTAGTCATGTGATAAAATCAAACATTTTGTTAACATTGACAGTGTAACGTGTCTGTGAATCCGTTCAAGTTAGGTACGTCCAAAACTTTGTGAGTCTGTGACTGTATTAAAACATGAATCATGCTATATAAGTTCATGTTTTATAAGTTGTTTCTTGTTCCTATATGCCTGCAATCTTATTATAAAATTCAGATATTATGAGAAGATAATGTTGACATATGTACAGTGATATAGTGTATTACTATGTTGTAACAAGTTGTATATAAACTATGGTTCTCACATGCAAAACCGTCGTCTTATATACACAGAGTTGTTGTGCTGTCCAAGACATTTTGTCTTGGTCTTAATGTAACAAGACAAAAACAACTAAATAGTATATTATATTATTTATTATTGACAATATAGATCGGATCATATCGTTGACGCCAAACTCATGAAAATGTTTCAGAGTAACTTAATAACACACTAATGCTCATGCCCTTAATTATAAACTCTCCGGTTTCTGCTTCAAAATTCCACAACTTTGATTTGGTGATTTGATCATTCATCCTCCAAACTATCGTGTGTTGGGTGAGGTTTTGTTTCAAACTTTCTAAAGTCCGTTGAAGATATTCGTTTTTTTTTTTAAGTTTCTGATTGAATCAAGAAAGAGCTCTGATTGTTTTATTGTTTACATGGGGATGAATATCGTTGGAAATAGAGTTTTGATAAGTCTGATAATCTTCTGTAGACATCAGAAGCAAAAGTAAGATACCATAACTCATAGTTTTGATCGGTGTACAAAAAATGTATTTTTTACAGATAAGAAATTGTCATATAACAGATTAAGAGCACAATTATCGGGAGGCGCTT